ATATTTTGAGACATTTTCAGAGCACACAATAAGGATCTCAGTGCTATATTTAATAACATTATCAAAAACTATGAACACAATTATTTTTGTTTCAATTATGTTTTATATACTAAACTGCACTAAATCCAGTTAATCAGGACTAATTAAGCTGTCTTTGCAACGAAACATGCAGCTCTAAAATGGTAACTTTACAGGAGAAGGAAAAATATTCTTAACATTTAATGTAAGTTAATGGGGAAATTATTCATTTGAAGTAATTCTAGATAATTTCTAGTAGTCCATTCATGATGACATTCTGACCCAATATAAAGGGCAGCTGGCAATTTCAAATTATGTAAAAAAAAATTAACAACAACAAAAACAGAGATACAAGGTTTTGTCCCGACAGTGAAGACATCTAACAATGAGTCAGGAACTGATATGTGGACCCCCCGAACCCTTTTTTAGGGTCTAAGAGAGGTTTTAATTCTGTTACCACCAAAGTCAGTGAGTAAAAGTCCAGTACTATTGTGATGTACGCCACTGCTGCAAATACACAAGCCTAAACAATAGCTGCAAAGCCAAATGTCCAGATACTTTTGGTGCAGAGAGGGATATGTACATGAGCAGCACCCTATTTCTGAAGATTATTTACAGTTAAAATGTACTTTTCACATGTAAAGAAGCCAAGAAAAAAGTGTAACTGACCAAATTCTTTCATTTAAATTCTGTATGCACATAAACTGAACTGGTTGACTATGACTATACTGGTATAACTATAAAACTGGTTGAAGCAGCTCTTTCAGCAAGTGAACTCATGAGATCCCGAGAGCGAATGCATCACTGATCCATTTAAAAAACGGGAAAATAGTCTGCTGCGTGATCAAAATGTGTGTGGGCCATCTGTCAGCCATTCATTTGCTAATTTGTGCTCAATTAAAACACATCAGCATCCATTATTCAGGTCGCTGTGTCCTCTTTCATTGGATCTTTTTTGGAAAGCGCATTATGACACACCAACGCCTTTCCACACTGATCTGCAGTCAGTCTTGCGGTCCCAGTATGGTTCAAATTTAGGTGCAAGAAAATGTTCCCAGTTCAACAGAGTCAGTGCCCAATAACATGCTCCTGATTGGTTAGCTGATAAAATCGATTGATATTAAGGTTCCACAAATGTATTGGTACCAGCAGACATCATGCCAATAAAGAACCATTATTGCTTAAAATTGCTTTTGATAAGTTTGATCATAATGTACATGCAATTCATGAATAATTGCTTTATCAGTCTATTAACTTTGCCTTTCTTTTTGTTATCCTTAGCCATGTTGCCTTTAACATGCTAACTAGCAAGCTATGGACAATTTCCAATAAAGCTGTCAGTATAAACATGGAGCACGCCCGAGTACCGAGCAAAATACTGGCTGGATCTCACATGGCTCCCTGTTCTTTACATAGTGCACTACATAGGAATTAAAATACTGGCTCCTGCACCCACATATTGCATAATGTCTAATAAATAGCCATTTGGGATTCAGCCATGTGTGCACTATTCCATACAGGACAAATAGTGCACTCTTTAGGTGCAGAAGCTAGAATTTCATAACTTACATAGTGCACTATTTAGGAAGGGGGTGCCGTTTGAGATTCAGCCTTTGAGAAAACATGCTGCAGCAGCTTTGCTAACTTGTGTCACAATGTGCACTGAAACAAAAAACTGGCCGTGATATATATGGTTAGGCAAATACAATCTCTCTACAGCCTATTTTACAAATAAAATTTAAAAACCAATGTAATCGTGTCTGTAACTCAAGACCTAAACTGCAAGACAAATGACCAAAATTTCTGACGCCAGAAATCCATCCGATTGTCCGACTGCTCAGTCGGGGCTAGTTTGCAATTAATCGGGTACTGCTACCCTCTTTACACTGCACGTCAAATGTATCTGAAATTTGGCCTGACCATGAAATTGAGTTGGGTCCAACCAAATCAGGTTTAAAGCGGGCTAAAATCATAAAGTGTACACCTGGCTTAAATTTGCTTTAGCTAATACAGTTGTAGAACAGCCCTTGAGATAATGTCATGACTCCCCCACAGAGAAACTGGACTAGGGCATGTTAAAACCAGCATTGAAATGGGTGGTTAGAATAGTGTAAATGGGGGAGACCATCTAGAACGACATAAATAGGGGAGAATGTTTTAGAACACTAGAGTAGAGGAGAACATTCTAGAACAGTGTGAGGGACAGAACATTCTAGAACAGCATGAGAGGCAATGCATTCTAGAGACCCAACAATAACACACAGGCACCCCTTAGGTCGGTGTGCTCTGGGCTTAAAACAGCCCTTATCCAAAGCTAACCAGGCAGCACACTGGCCGAATCACTTTGGTACGGTGAGTCAAATTACAAGGGTCAAAGAAAGGCACCCAGCATCCCATATAATACAAACAATACAACAACCAGCTTATAGTTTTAAGAGCCTGAGTAATTCCTGGGGTTGTGCTGACGCATGCCGACAGACAGAGCCAGGTGGTTGATCCTTTGAGGACAAGCGCACAAACGGCCGACACAATGCACTTAAACCGCCTCATCTCTGAGGCCTGGCCAAACAGAGGACCGTTGACCTACTAATGACTTAGAATGTTGACCTCACTCGATGACATGCAATGACTACTTTGTGCAACCTTATAGATGTAGAGGGTGGAAGAGCTCCCTTCAAATGGCAAAGTTGTTTTTGCAACTGTTTGTTAATTTTCATAACTTCTGCTAATGTTCCAAGAGACGATCCTATAAAGAAACATCTAAAAATCCTCTTTGTGAACTAGTGCAAGAATAGGGCTGCACAATATATTGTTCGTTAACACCAATATTGGCCTTTGCAATACTATACTATCATAGAAGGCTACAATATGCAAATGAGTCATCTAACCAATCACAGTGATTTTTACTGTGTGCTGTAAGCTTCTTAACCAATCACAGAAGAGTTTTCCTGAAGGAAGGAGGTTTGATAAATCAAGGTGCACTCCAACAAAAGTCAATTTTTTGCATTATTTAAAATAATGCAGGTCAATCTAATGTCACTTTTTTATAGTTTTATAATGTGCATATATTTTTATACTGATATATGTGATAACATAGTGCAAAGTGTATCACTATCAAATGGATGCCCATCCTTGCCTAGTAGAGCAGAAAAATGTCGCATATGACTTCTCCTTTGTCTGTTTCTGGAAGCTATATATCAATTTTTTGACACAGTATTTGAAATAGTGACTTATTTTCTCATAATTATGACCCACTAGGTGAAAAAAATGATCTTACATCTTGTAATAATACTTTCTTGAAATGTAATACCTCATTATTATGACATAACTTAAAATCTTGGGAAGTAAATAATTATTTCAAAGTACTAAATCAACATTTTGACAAAATTAGTCATTATTTCAAAATTTTGTTCATATTTTGAGAAAATCTATCATTAATTTGAGATATTATGTCAATATTTCAACAAAAATGTCATGAGTTGGAAATATTAATCAATAATTCAAAGGAATAAGTGATTTTGAGATATTAAGTCAATAATTCAACAACGAAAAACATTTATTTAAGATATTAATTCAATGTTTCAACAAATGAAGTCAATATATCACCATAAGTCATTATTTTGAGATATTAAGTCAATATTTTGATTGATTGTTTTTATTATTATTACTTATTGCTTGTACCAGTCATGATAATGGCAGAAAAATGTTTTTTTTTTTACTTATTTATTTACATACAATTACAACAATTTAGTTGTTTCCACATTTTTTAGTTAATTACTGTTTTGAATGAAAATAAATAAGCATTTACTCTTTTTCTTCCTCGTACACAAAATTATAGGACTGTGGTGGGTGGAGGGGGCCCACAAGTAGGATGTTGATTAGCGCCTCCAGATTTTCAAAGACAGCACTGAGTAGCAATATTATTGCAATACTATAGTATTTTATTCATTTTGTGCAACTCTACTGCGGAGGTGATCGGCTCACTGAACGATTCCAACAGATTTATTATGATCTCCTGATGCCATTTTAACACAACCATACTAGACGCTGCACCTTTAAGATAAGCTCTGAAGGCCCTGGCCTGACAGAACACTCATATCAGTCATATCAATACCGTATGTTGGAAAAGTATGTGAGTAAACATCTGGAATTCATCTCGCCACCAATTGCAACACTTTGTGCCACACACTTTTCTCCTGGGATTTACACCCAAAGTGTTGCACGATATCAAGAAAACGAATAGACAATGTATTTATATATTACACTGTAAGTAATTATATAACTCCATAGACATTATACAGAGGTGCATTAAATTAAACATTTGACCTCACTGGTGTCGTAAAACAACTGCTGGTATGTGCACTTATTTGGAGAGTGCCTCTCTGCTGAAGACAGTTGTAAATTAAGCTCGCAATAATAACAAGCAGGGAGCAGGGCTGGAAAAAATTCTCATCTATGTTTCAAAGGGGCTTCTGCGTCACCAGCTATAGCGTCAATGCCAGGATTTAAAAAGGATCAGAGTTCTCTGTAGTGTCACGGGGGCTTAACGTGTCGTCACTGTGTACAGCTTAATAATCCCACAGGCCAAACACACACACACTTACTCAGTCACTCCCAGAAAGGTCTGTGCATGTTTACATACACCCACCCTTAATTCTGTGCAGGTTTCGCACAACAGGAAGAATAAATGGTACCCTTGTGACTTCGTGACAGTCCAGAATCATTAGACCATTCTTTCCTATAGAACCAGCAACGAGAACCTGAGGGAAAAGTCCAGTGATGTAGATGCAGGTTCAGGTTTCTCACGAAGCTCAAGTTACTCATGGGAACTGAAAATTCATTGAAACTTGAAGTATTACAAAACTCAAACATGCTAATACTGCTAATAATGAATGTAACCTAATAAGGGCTAGTTAGCATTAAGAAAGTTACCTAATGCTAACAGGCTCCCACTGGTTTTCATTTGTTGTTAGCCAAGCTATCAAGCTGAGTGTACTATTCTTTTAAGTAAAGCAGTTTATGCTAATCCAGCACTAAACCCAAAATTCGAATACTACCAATTATAAATGTAACTTGACAGGAACTAGTAAGAGTTACGAAAGTTACCTCATGCTAACTGGATCCCACTGTTTTTTTCCCCTCATTGTTAGCCATGCTAGCATGCTGGCTGAGCTATTCTCTTAAGGTACAGGTCCCACTCATTTTCTTTCACTGTTGGCCGTAACGGCATGCTGGTTGAACTATTCCTATAAAAAGTAGCTTCCACTGGGTTTCTTTCGTTGATAGCCACGTTAGCATGATAAGTGAACTATTCTTGTAAAAGAATAGCTTCCACTTGGTGTGCTTTCACGGTTAGCCATGCAGGTACACTGAGTGAACCATTCTTTTAAAGTATAGTTTCCACTGTTTTTCTTTCATTGTTAGCCATGCTAGCACACTGGGTGAGCTCTTCTTTTAAATAAAGCACTCTTAGCTATCCCTTTACGCTACATCAGAACTAAATGAATGTAACCAAATAGTTTCTGGTTAGTGTTAAGCAACTTCTCATGCTAACTGGCTCCCACTGGTTTTTCCTTGTTGTTAGCCATGCTAGCACGCTGGATGAACTGAATGTACTTAATAATGTTGTGTTAGGAATTCTGTTCATACTAATCCAGAACCAGATTTATATCCTTTGTATTTTAACCGTCGTAAGGAAAAGACCAAAGCTAGTCTGAGATCTCCACACATTTTTACTACGCATATTCTAGTCACCCAGGCCAGGAAGGGTCTCTTTTCCACACTTTTTATTTGACTCCATCAAATAGTTAACACTGAGATGACTGTTTTGAGGACATGACCACACATGAACACTCAAGTAACATGCCCTGGTCCACCACCCATCCTACCAGTTTATGTATTTTCACAGACAGAGCAACTGGAGAACCCAGACAGAGTTTTTAGTGCCACTTCTTCTGCTGAAGAAGCTGCAAAAGGGGGAGAACCTGGGCCATACACACAAGACAAGCAATCAATAGAACCCATGTATACTCCACATCGCAACAAGACAATGGATGACAGTAACTGTGACCTGGGGCTGAGTGAAGTTCATTGTCCAAAACCAGGTCGAGAGAGCATGAAGACATATACACAGGACGTTGACAAAGAAGGGACTTGTGGTCCTTAAAGGGGTTGCTGAACAGAGCATCTTCTGTTATAAAGGTACAAAGAGGCTGGAGAGCAGTCTATGTCTGTAGTAATGCACTATGTGGGACATAGCAAAATAAGGGGCCACAGAAAAGCCATGGAATGCATGGGGCTACATGAGGGCCAGCGACGGGCAAATGGCTTAAGCTGCCGTGCTGCAACTGACAGGTGGCCTGGGTGGTTACAATGGATGGGAACAGTCAAATTAGTCATAATACAAACAGATACTGCAATATTTCTCTCTTACTCTTGCGCACTTGCTCTCACACACAGTTCGTCAGAGGCTTAGTGTGTAAAAACAGAACAAGTAAAGAAGGGATGCAATGGTGAAAGAAAAAAACGAATGAAGCATCAGGGTTGCGTTCTTCTTCTGCCATGTTTCACCCGCCGGGGCTTGAGGATGACGTATCTGCTGTAGGTAGTGTGGTGCTCGGACAGGAATGGAACGAAGAATGCCCTGAAGAACCTGGACGATCTATGGAAGAGAAACATACAGGAAGAGAGATAAAGACATATACTGTTTCAAAAAGATCCCAACAACCAGGGGCTCCCAATCTCAGCCCTAGAGTACTCCTGTCCTCCACGTTGTCCACTCCTGTACGCCTTGCTCTAGGAAGGACTTTTCAGTTTTCAAGTCAATTAGCTCATTAGTTGGATCAGGTGTGTTACGGCCACGGCACACTGACCCAAAATACCCCAACAAACACCAACATTCTCATGTTAGCCGTTTGTTTTATCATGTTCTAGAATACTGTTCTAGAATGTCAAATGGACCAGATGACAATCTAGAACAGTGTGGATGGGCCAGAACATCAAGGACTTCTAGCAATCACAAACTGGTATGGCACACCAACCATACCTTGGAGAATGTTGGATTGGTGTTTTCCTGCCTATAGAGCAGGAGTTCCCTAATAAAGTCCAAGGACCCACTGACCTGCACAGTTTCAACTATTCCCTGCCACAACACACCTGATTCATCTCAAAAGGTTTTATTCAGTAGCTGATGAGTTGGATGAGTTATGTTGATGCAGGAAAGAGTTGAAACTGTGCAGGTCAATGGGTGCCAGGACTTGAGTAGCGAATCTATGCTCTAGTACACAGATTCATCTTTCTACAACAAACCCAAATGTTTGGGTTGTGTGCCATACTTGTGTGTGTCCGTTGGGAGTCTTTAGAAAGTGGGTCCCCACAACTTGACAACCCCTGTGTTAGAGCTAGGGCTGCAACAATTAGGTGAGTTGAAAAATTGGTTTATCCATAAAGGTGAAATGGAAATGGCTTTTTCGAGTAAGTGATGACATAGCAGGAACAAATGTTCTTGCACTCCACATAATGATAAGGAGATGGAAATTATTAATGCTACATCTGGACCGATGTTTCCAGGGGTAAAGTGGGCGGGTGTGAATTTGAGACAGTTACTTTAGCCCCATGAAATGGGTCACTAACCTGCTCTGCCTTGTGTCTCTGAACTTCAGCCATGTACAGTTGAGAGGGGGCTATCAAAACTATTTTAGCCAGAGCTAATAAACATCCAAATCCTTCCCCACATGCTGAGTGCGACTCTTGTCTCGTGCCACACGTCGCAAGCGTATAATGTTATCTTCAGGAAATCGTGCATAACAGTAGCTGATGGAAACATCAAAGAATTCGCGTCTTCAACCGACTTTTTGAAAATTCACTTTGAATGGAAATTCCACTTACAACAATTACAGGGAAAAGGCTAACGTCATTTTTTTTTAAACAAATTTGCTCTATAATGCTTTATAATTTTTATTCTGACAGATTGCAATCATGTGCTATGATTTCTATTGTTTCATTAACCATTAAAGAAATCACTAGTTGCACAAAGTTGTTAACTGAGTAATAGTCAATAGATTAAATCATTGCACAGATAACTGTTAGTTGCAGGCATAGTTAAAGCAGGGAAACACCAAACAGTGCAGGGCCTGGACTAGGAAGCACTACAATGGGGAAAAAACTGATCTGTCTCCATGTAATGAGAGTTCATGGAGGCTAGATGGAACTGATCCTGTCAGGGAGCTGATGCAGTTTGAGCAGGCTCTGCAAACAAGGGCACTCGGAGCATGCAAATTTCAGCAGCCGTTAATTGAGACCAATTGCTTTGGATCTGTAATACAGTCTGACTGGATCTGCAGGGGGGCTTTTGATTCTCCATTACTGCAATCATCACTGCTGTAATGGACTCTGTTACAGCGGTAATTACTAGGAATTCATAAGCGAGGTGAAAGACGTTTCCAGAGGACAGGTCCTTGAGCAGTGTTGAGCAGATGCCCAGCTGGAAGAACTGCCTAAGATCCTCAGACGATCATAAGCGATGATGTCATGGGACTTTAATACTGGTCTATGGCACCCTCAGTAGGACAAGCCGAGGAATTACAGGTGTTCGTTTCATAAAGGAGGGTATTAATGGATTAGTGGTGGGGGGGTCTTCAGCAGGATTTAATTCTATGCCTAATCTAACACACCTGTGTGTGATATTCAGAGACACATGAGCATTTTAATGAGGTGAGATAGATAGATAGATGTGGCAGAGCAGCCTGCAAACACGGTCAGATATTAACAGTCACTGAGAATAAAGATTTACCTTTGTTCAATTACATGTTTAAAGTAGGGCTGTCAAATGATTAAAATAATGAAGAAATAATCATGATAAACCACATTATTTTGTGTAGTCTAATTAATGATGTCATATATGCTCAGATTTGACCCTAAAGAAACATTTAAAAAGCAGTATACGGTTATAGCTTTATGACAAGACAAAATAAGACAAAATAAGTGCAACAAAGGCTCTCGAGGGGAACAGCATACATTTTGCTGTTGCTTTTGTTAGTTTGCTGCTTGTTGATTTATCCATAGGTCTCACGCAAGGACCGTCCAGTGTTGTCTAGTATAATGCTTTAAAAGTGATTTAAAAGCTGGGATTGAATGTGAGGGCTACAATAATGGATTCCACCATAGAAACATACAGTGCACAAGCAGCTGGGCTTCGGCCTGCACTGCTACAGATGGTTCAAAGGGTCAAACTAATATAATGTGTTAAAATCATTTAAAAAAATGAGTGGTGCTAATAATTTATCGCATTAACACTTTATTAAGGCATTAACTTTGACAGCCCTAATTTAAATACAATTTAAACAATCATTTTTGTTTGCACTCCAATGCATCTGCAAAACATCTGTCCTATACTACTAATTTTTATTCTTTGTATTTACTTATTTTGGCTTAAATTGAAATTAAATCCTGCCACTCTGCTTATGTTATCACTGCATCCCTCTGCACAATCAAGTTCTACTGTACTGCAAAGGAAAACACAGTGAGAAAAAGGGGATATAATTTGTTTTTGAGCATCTAAATAAGCTTTTATCTGAATATGTTCTTTTTCCTCTTTACCCACTTCTGGACAATAATGGCAATAAAAATGAGCATAGCTATAGGTATCATCATCACATCCACTCTCATGTATACTCTCTTAAAAAACTTACTTTGAAGCATCCAGAAAAGGTTTTTCCGCGATGATGCTCCACTCGTCTTTGTTAGCTGCGTAGCGTGGCTCTCGCGGAGCTTCCGTGTCTGTCGCCAAGTCCACCAGATAGTGACAGTGCTTCAGATCCACCTACAAGGGGAGAGAATGTCACATGGACAGTTCATACAACTAGTGACATGCAGCCAGACTTGCAATAATAATAATAACTGACGATTAATTGGCAAATCAGTTAAATAATTGTGATTAACAAAGATCTTTTTTTTTCACTGAATATAAATGTGTAAGCACAAGCCTAAAGTGGCCAAATTGCCAGACTAACCATCTTACTTCTGTGCTGTCAATAGTTCCCAACTGATGACAGACACTGCTTGAGGTCAGATAAACAAACATTACTCACTGGTGCCCTCTAAAGGTGATTTAGCACCAGTTGGAACTTTTCATGTTCTCCTAAGGCTTTCACAATAAGTGAGAATCTGCCTCAATGAAAAATGAAAAAGCACCCAAATCACATTCTGTTTGTAGCAACTTAACCATAAGATTGTGAAAGCTAACAGCGTGAGAAAATAATTGTAGTCATCTTAAATAATTGTGATCAGCTCAAGTAAATGTGATCAGGTGATTATTTTGTTATTGTGACAAGCTTAAATAATACCACACACAACCTTCTCATAATCTCACAATCTCATTATTATTTCATGAATAGAAATAAAATGTATCAAATCTGTGGAACATGAAAGTACTCATAAGACCCTGTACTATGATACGAGTAGTTCTTTGAAAAATCTAAGGCAGTTACAAATGCAAGACGTGAAACATAGGTGGTCTGAGACCCCCTAACTAACATCTTGGACCCCCTGAATGCTTCAAAATCAAATCTCTCTGGTGTCCCTGAAAATAAACTTATGATGTCATACTGTCCACTTGGGAAGAATAGACTTTCTAATACAAATTCAGGGAAAAGTCACAGTTTAGCCTGCTTCACCACCAAATGTCACGCTTCTGTCTTTGATATTCTTAAATAACTAGAGATGCAGCACTGGGCCGCCTCAGGGTGTTATTACTGTAAATTGGTTCACCCAATTTGTCCTTCATAGCCTGGCAACTGTAGCTATGCCCACGGCACCTCTGAAAAACTTCTCAGTATGCCGTAGCATATTTGTAATGTATGAATTTCTCAAGAGTTTGGAGGAAAGAGTGAATTGTTGCTCATTTCTCAAACCAAAGACAAAAGAAGATGTGTAAGATCTCAAATAATGTTTGGAAAACTGCATAACCAAATTAGCGAGTGAGATAACAGCCAACATGGGACCCCCAAAATACCAGGCCTAAATCACGACACTCTTGCCTTAAACCATGTTGAGCTGTTAAGTAATCTCAAATAGACTTGTTTATGCAATGAAAACAGAAGCAGTAAACATCCTGAAGCCTGAACGTTGTCCATTTTTACAGATAACAGCATGTCTTGCATTACTGCAATATGAAGTAACCTTATGGTGTCTTGTGTTTCCTTATATTTTAGTGCTGTTCTTACACTGCCTTGTATTCTAACCCTCGTCACACAGAGAAGATTTCTCAAAGCCCCTCTGCCACAGATAAACACAGCTGTCACCTCAACCAATCTTGCAATAGCCAGTTCCTCAAGCAACTGCTCTTATGGAGGTGGCCCATATTAATGCACTGATTATGAAGATTGTGTGTGATTGTGTAAGTGGATACAGCTCTAGAACACAGCCATTCGCACAAGCTAAGTACTTACATCTGGTGAAGCTTTAAGGGCCATCTGATCAGTATACTGGTGACTTGAACTGATGGATCTAACGAGCAACACTGCACTCACTCTCATGTACTGCCGTTCAAAAGCTTGGGATATTAATAACTGACGATAATACACTGTATATGTTGAAATATTATAAACAAAGCCATTTTAATTGTACTCAACATTTTGGAAATGACAAGAAGTTGCTAAAAGATAAATACTATGCTGTTATGATCTGTTTACAGGAATTATTGTCTGCCTGATTTGATCATCACCAACACTGATAATGGGATAATGGAATAATCTACAGTTCTGTTCATCATGAACACATCTAACATTTCTAAACCTTTTCAGGTTGTAGAGCAGTAGCGTTATAATAGAATCCTTTTATACATGTGTCTACAACAAACTTAGTTTCATATTACTGAAAACAGTGATTCCATCTAGAATGCTGCTTGTACGACACCGAATAAAATGTGTGTTGAAGATGGGTGGAGCTGTAAGTGGGTTGGGAGAAGAGGGTCACTCACATATCTGGAAGGTTCTTCCAGATTCTGGTCATTCATGTCTGTGGGCAGGATCTGTGTGGCATCAGGTCCCCGAGGCATAGGGCTTGGGCAGCTGCCCTCGGAACTCTGACTGGATGAACTGTAGTTGCCAGCTGTGGGACGGACAAACAAGTAATAACAAGCAGGTTAGAGTTGAACAGGGAAAAAAGTAGTGGTGAAGTTCAGATCAACTTTTTTAAAAAAACCTTGATGCTACACACTGATTTTCAGACTTTGGGACACATTTACTTCAAAACAATGGATGTAACTGCTCACCATGTGGCCATGAGAGACATGAGCGTCTCACTTCCTGCTCTAAAATTCAGTGCTCAAAATAAGGCTCCGCCTATGGACTAAAACACTATGCTTTTCAGTGGTGACATGAAAATGTGGGGCAGGCACTGAATAAAGTTACTCATGATTAATCTAAATTTTAAATTTTAAATTCACTTTAAAACAAAGCAAAAACATATTTAAAATAAATGGATAAAGAAAATGCAAACAAAAAATGTAAGCAAACTGATACATAAATGTTTGGAAAAAAAATTTGAATTGGGCTAAACTCCTGGACTAGCATCATGGAAAAATAAAACATTTATTTCTGTGAGATTGCAATAAATGGAATAAAATGGTGTCACCTAAACATTCTGCTTTTCTGGAATACAATAAATATGTCATCAAATATCAGTTTGAAAAATTGGTCAAATTTAAACATCTGTCTGAGGCTGACATCCCTAGATGACATGGGCATCCCTAGATAAAAACTGAATTAAGCCTAACACAGCCAATACAGTTCTACTGAAATGCCCTGAACAGCATTTCAGTAGAACTGAGAGAATCAAAGTTAAATAACACTGAAATAATTTTAATACGATTGGCCTTACTGACTTGTTGGGCAGCAGGAAGCTGCTGGGGAAGCGGTACCACTCCTTCCCCACACACACACTGACCGGCCTGCCCTCGGGCACTGTGTGGATGGCTGGGTCTTTGGCTATGCGGTGAAACTCAGGATACAAGTCCAGAGGAGCATGATAACCTGCAACAATTACACACATCGCAAACATTAGGCCAAGAAAGAATTCAACATACAACATAATAAAACAATCCTGAATGTTTGAGGATGCATTTATTATTGGATGACACTTTATTTTTATTATGCAGATGTTTGCAGATGCTCATCTTAACCTTTATTTAAGGGGGTTAAAGGAAAAGTTCTCTAAACTGCTTTAAGTTATTTCGCATGGTCTTTATGAACACAGCACAAGTGTATGCACAATTCTGTGGTCACCTCGGAAGAGAGCCACCGAGCGCGAGAGAGAGAGCACAGCGAAGAGAATCACGGAGCCCAGAGCCAGCCAGTTGGAGGAAATGGTGTAGTGCTCCAGACGATAGCGCTGGAACATGAAGTGATAGCACTTCTGTAGGGACAAACACAGGAGGACAAACTGTACATCAGGCAAACCATAAAGCTCAGAAGATGCTAGCAATTACAAAACTTTAAACAAAGAATTTTAATAGCATTATGTGCAGATTTGCTTATGGTGGGTTCAAATTGTCCCTTTCAACTCATAAACTAGAAAACTACCAATTGTTTGGGTTTAAGTGGTCACTGGCTACTGATAAACTTATCACTTGCAGGTTACGTACATCCACAGTATTGTGCAAACATTTGAAGTATCTGAGAAAATATGTAAAAATATGTGTAACCATTTTCAAAGCTCTCCTCATAGAAGGCCAGTATTTATAGTTCCCATCCAGTACCTGCTTTATCTAATCAATCCTTCATTAAATTAAATCAGGTGCTGCCGATGGAATTGAACAAATCCATACAATGACTGGAGTGCAGCAAATAGTCATGAAGCAAACCTGTGTTCTTCTAACCAACGTATCAATACATCGTTTAAAAATTAAACATTTTTGTTATGGTTTACTGTAGTTATATCTACTGTTTATATTCTATTATATATTATAGTGTTATATATGGAATAGATGTATAGAATATATAGTTACACCATGTTTTAACTGGTAAAAATGCACTTTATTCCAAGTGATCACACCGTTTTTTTATTTGCTGCTTCTTTTGTATAGTAAGGTAGATTTACACAATATACTGTCACAACAAATCCTTGCAACTTAATAGGAAAAAAGGAAAATTTTTAGCTTTGCTTTATGTAAATGTAATAAGATTTCATTCCAAGTATTTTGATCTGTTTCTAGAGGTCCATTTATAAAGCATAGCATGTGTTTCTAAAATGGTGCAAAAAAAAGGTTCTATATGTATTGGCCAATTTTACCACATATATATATATATATATATATATATATATATATATATATATATATATATATATATATATATATATATATATACACTATACATATATATGACACAGTCACATCCAAAACCGCCGTATCACTACATGTTTTGTTGATTTAAGTGAAAACAAGTGAACACAGCTTCATTCATTCATTCATTCATTTATTTATTTCTTTACTGAAAAAAATTAAAAAGAAAGCTTTTGCATAGCCCACATTTTACATTTTATCCCCCTCCCCCCAATATAGTCAATTCAACAAATAAACAGTAATTGTGTATAAAAATATGCAGATGTGTTTTCTGTGGAAGATGTGTTATTTCCATTTATTTTCACTCAGAAAATGAACAAAACACAGAATCTGCCCAGGGGTGCCCAAACCTGTTTATGAATCAGTGTCGTCATATCAGAACCTAATAAGAGATTTTTCTGTTTGATTTTTTTTAAAACCCAAAGCTCACCCTCGCAATATAAATAACATTATTTGATGTTTAATGAGCCAAATTTCATTTAAGAACTCAAAATGCCAAAGTCAGCTGCCTATCTGAATAACAAATCAAATAGGGAGTTACATCAAAAGTTCAAAAGTTATTTAGCATAATGAGTCACGCATAATTATGCTGTGATATTTTGGTATATGTATAGCAGCAGCATTTAAATACAGCGTAGCGAAAGCATTTAAATACATTTTATTAGCTCACATTATTTATCCAAAACACTGCAACACAGCCAAAATAAAAATAATAAACTGGCTGATTGCTGTTTGCATGTTTGCAGCAAAAATCCCAATTCTGATCGTACAGACTGCTTGGTCTACTGTGTTCATGTGGCATCAAAGAATTTTCTGAGTGGTGATACAGCACAGCTCATAAACTTGGGAAACCTCCAGCTTGTATGGAGACTTCCACTTGTTTGTGACATTATCTCAGCCAACTGAGAGCAATTTCCTTGTAGAAAACTGTAATTCACAAGCTTATGAGGAACATGTGAACGCTCTGCATGACTGTGCTGTGCTGTGTTACCTGGAGAGAGGAGAGTGCCACGGCCCCACACAGACAGATGAGGGGGTAGATAGGAAACAGGAAGCGCTCCTCCTTGTGGGGACGAGTGAAGAAAACCAGCATCCAGAGGTACATGGGTGACAGTGTGAGCCAATAGGGACGGCCAAGGTTCTGCACTGCAGAGAGGGAAAAATGGGATTTAGAGTTTAAATCAGTGGTCCTGGAGGGTCCAGCATAGTTTGGTCATTTTCTTGCTTTGAACACACTTACCCAACCTAGCAATTAGCTGCTAACTTGATTCAGGTGTATTTGAGTAGGAGAACCACCAAATTGTGCTGGACTTTAGCCGCCCACGACCGGAACTAGTCAACGCTTGTTTAAATGGTCTTTAATAGGAGGCAGTGCTAGGTCTTTTATTATGTGGGGCAAATGTCACGGTCTGGTTTGAAATCGCAAAAATATTGACAGGAGCAGAAAGTCACAGCACGACAATACCAACTGATGTTGAGTTTAGAATAGACAATAGTATAAAAAGGAATTTTGGCAAAAATAATTCACAAACAAATCTGTCACAATCATTACATAACCTCTATGATCACAATTATTTAAGCTTGCTGCAACTGTTTTTGACACATGTAAGCTTTCACATGGCAAAATACAGAATGGGAATGAGTATGTTTTTATCAGTTGGGTTAAGGTAAATTCAAGTACATAAAAGAAAATACATAATGCATTTATTGAGACATGGGTCTTATGAAAAGTTATCCATATGTTCTAACTTCTGATTGGTGCTATAACAGATATAGAGGGCAGCAGTGAGTTTTTTTTTTTATATTTTGAAGCTTGAGCTGTCTGTCTTCAGCTAGGAGCTAGAATCAACAGCTAGGACGCAAGACAGCTAATCAGCCAGTTTGGCCACTTGAGATGTGTACTTTGACACAATTGTCTTTCAAAAAAAATAAATAAATAAAATATGTGTTAATTGCAGTTATTTAGGAAAATTAATCATGAGCTAAAATCGTGGTCGTTATTGTTTGTTCTCTTAGCTGTTATTTATTTACTCTTTGTGACAGCTAGAAATGTTTTTTAGACATTTTCATGGTGTTTCAGTGCTGTTAGTGGTCATTGATGGTTGCACTGAAATGATGTTTGACAATGCGAGTGCTAATCAAACTACTTGGTACTATTAAAATACTTGAAGTAACTATTCAGATACTGAAAAGGTGCCCATCCTCACTCTCTCTCACTCACACAAGCACACACACCCACACACCTCACTTACCATTAAACCTCTGAAGCAGAGCCTCCATTAGAGCCGTGAGAGGAAGCGAAAACAAGGCCAACACAAACACAATGTTAAAGTTTAGGAAACCATTCACAAAGTAGTAGTGCCAAGGTTCAGTGCCTGCAAGAAACGAGAAGAAAAATCAAGCTTCAGCATAGTATGTTATCATCTGGTAAGACATATGACATGAATGAAAAAAAAAAAAGAAGTTATACATTGCAGTGAAAAGTATTTTCCCCCTTTCTCTATTTTTTAACACCTCTATCAACCATTTAAAAATAAAAAAAAAAATTGCTATCTTACTCTTAATAACTGGTTGTGCCACCTTTAGAAGCAACAACTGCAACCAAAGGCCTCCTATTACTGGAATCTTTCACATTGCTCTGGAGGAATTTTGGCCCACTTTTCTTTGCAGAATTGCTTTAACTCAGCCACACTGGAGGGCTTTTGAGCATTAACTGTCTGTTTATGGTCCTGCCACAGGATCTCAAATGGGTTCAGTTCAGGATTTTGAATAGGCCACTCCAAAACCTTCTTTTGAGCCATTCAGAGGTGCACTTGACAGGCCATGTTTCAGATTATAGTGTTGCTGCGCAGCAAAATTTTGCTTGCACTCCAGATTACAGACTGATGAACGAACATTCTCCTGGAAGATTTTTTTTAGTTCCATCATTTACAGCAATTTGCCCAGGCTCAGAAGCAGTGAAGCATCCCCACACCATCACACTACATGAGACGAGGCTTTATGTTCTTCTTGGTTATCAGTGGTTTTTGCCTTGAAACTCTCACATGGATGTCATTTTTGCCCAGTCTCTTTCTACTGGTGGAATCATGAAGAGTTTCCTTATCTGAGGAAACCGAGGCATGCAGCTCCTTAGATGTTCATCTAGGTTCTTTTGTGACTTCCTGGATGATTGTCACTGTGCTTTTGGAAAAAATTTTCATGGGTCAGTCACTTCTGGGAAGATTTACCACTGTACCAAGTTACTCCTTTTGGAGATAATGGCTCCCACTGTAGTTCACAGGAGTCCCAGAGCCTTAGAAATGGCTTTGTAACTCCTTCCAGACTGATAAATTTCAATAACTTTCTTATCTTATCTCTTCAGGAATTCCTTTTGATCGTGGCATAGCGTGCTGCTTGTTGAGCCATTTTAGCCTACTTCACATTACTGGAAAGGTTCTATTTAAAAGATGTTTAGATTTGACAGGACTGGCAGTAATCAAGCCTGGGTGTGTCTAGTTTAATTGATAATTATCAACTAAATGTGGTTAACTGGATGACTTTTTCACACGGGGCCAGTTGGTGTTTGATAACTGATAAATAAAATGATGATTTAAAACTGCATTTTGTGTTTACTCAGGTTGTCTTACAATACAATATGGATGGGACAGGTTTGATATGCTGTGGCATTACCATAGAGATCTGGCCCATGAGGAGTGAAGACGTTGTACAGTATTATATTAAGAGGTGCCACCACCAGCTTTCCGTAGTAATAACTGTCCACTACAACTACAGGGACCTATAAGAAAAAAAACACATCATCACAAAACAGTGAAGAGAGCAAATTATTGTATTAATTCCACCAAGAGCCCAACTGTAACTAAAAATGTTGTCACTAATATAAATAATAAAAATGTATAATTGAAAATTATGAAAATTATGAAGCTACAATGATTTTACTCAAAGTTTTACTAATTGTACTGTACTCCAATCAAAAAGGCCTAATTATACTCACTTTGTAATGAAACACATAGTTAGTCAATGTTCTTTAAGTACAGACAACCCACAAAATGCTCAGAAAAGCGTATTGTGACAATTTATCATGATAATGACAAAATACCGTCATACTGCCCACCCCTGGTTTTAGGTACGCAGAGTTTTACTGACTGATATATATGATTGTCAGTTGTCAAATGTGATTTGTCAAATATGTTATCCCACAGATTTATTAATGCCTTACAGGTGGTGATATTCCTCACTTACAGTGCTGAAACAAACTTAAATAATACCATATTTTTTTTTCTTATTTAACAACAGCGTGGCACTCTTATTTGAACAACATTTCACAAATCTCACAATGTTGACCTCTCAAGTAAATAAATATAACATATATTCTACTTAACAAAAGCAGTATTTCCAGCACATTAAACTTGGTGGTTGTTCAAAATTGCACCGCATCCTGCATGTGTTTCTTTTTCTAAAATTTAATCAAACACTATGGATGCTTTATCTGTAGGATTTCCAAATTCTGTGAAACCTTAACATTTGCTGGCCAAATGACTTACGTTTTTGATATTCTACAGCAACAAAAAGACAAAATATTGGCCTACAGTCATTATCTGTGCGTTTGAAGGTCAGTGCAATGAGAGGTCAAAGTTTAACAAATTTAAACTTGTGACAGGTCATTCCACAAACAGAGGGCGGCAAACAACGGCTCCATTTAAAATGAGTAGCCAAGACGTGTGCAAAACATTTTTGGTGTGATAGCATGGACGCTGCTTTATTACCACATGTGTGTACTTTTGGTCAAGGCTGAAGATAAATAACAAACTTTTGTTGAGTCTCTTTATTCTGATACTTTGTGCTTTGAAGATATGTTATTTAATTACCCTCCATCTTCCTGCGATCTGAAATACAACTTCTTGTCCTCTTTGGTCTTATTTGGGTCTATCGTCATTCAAAGGTTAATTATGATGTAGGAAAACTACCTTACAACAGTGTGAAGCTTTGAAATTATGGATTGGCATTTCTACCTGCTACTCACTCTCTGAGTTAAACCTCAAAGACAAACCTCAACCTCAAAATTAGCCCCTCAACTGTTAACTGAGCATTTGTCAAAGATGGAAGAGTTAAACATCTCCACTTGCCAGAAAGAGCGCCAGGGCTACAAGTGTCCACGTAATGAAACTTTTCCACTTCTTCTTCAGCAAGAGAAGGTCGAAAGCAATGGGTATCCTGCAAAACACAAAAGGGCACTGCTGAAATCTCATAGTGTCCAGGGGAAAGTTCCATGCCAGAATAGCACATTCATTCTATTATTTTGTATAAAAACTCCTCTATTTGGTTTCATGATAAAATTTTAGGAGACATTTCTCCACATTAAGGAGACATTTTAATACTGTATGCTTACTGCCAGTAAGCAAAGGCCAAAACAGCACAATGCTGTTTCATTTGTCAGGATATAAATGAATCCTGTACTGGAAATAAGGATGCACAGTGATATCGGAATCATATCGGTATCAGCAGATCATTTTTTATCGGTATCGGCATCAGGCAGTTATTTAGACTTGATGGTATTTCTAACTGATATTTCAGCATGTATATATTGTACTGCGGAAGAGCAGAATGTTTAGGGCTTCTGCACCAAAAAATAGCAGCATTTTAGTCATTTTAGTGCAAGTGAAACTTTCTACAAATAACTGTTACCGCTAATCCAGGTAGATCTAGTCCTACATTCTACATTTTATGAATATATATGTGTCAACATCTGCTTCAGTAGATATGTGCATGACAAATATCATATTTTAGTATCAGTTCAGAATTCCCATACTAATGCATCCATAGAAACTAATCGCTGACCTCAGCACCTGCATCGAATCAATCTTCAGTTGACAAATCTACTCATATATAGCCGCTTTAGGGCTGCACAATATATAGTTTGTGAAGCATTACTGTAATATCAGTTCAGAATTCCCATACTAATGCATCCATAGAAACTAATCGCTGACCTCAGCACCTGCATCGAATCAATCTTCAGTTGACAAATCTACTCATATATAGCCGCTTTAGGGCTGCACAATATATTGTTTGTGAAGCATTACTGTAATATTGGCCTTTGTAGGACTGATATCGTACATATATGTGCAGTGAGCATCTTGGCCAACCTCAGCTTTCGTTTTTTTGAATGTTCCGAGAATCAAACCATTCAAAAGAAAATTATTGTGGTAAAAATAATGCAGGTCAGTCTTTAAGCTGATTCACTAGTGTAATTTATAAATATTGTCTATCACAATATGTAATAACATAATAAAAATATGGTATTTTCCCTCCAGGCTTGTACCTACCCCAGCAGAGCACTGAAGGGCCAGCCCACAATGGCCCCTGCTGCTACACCCAGTATAGCCAAACTGGGTCGCCCTAGGAACCAGCCGGTCATAGCAACCACTGTGCTGTACATGCAGAAAGTGCTGGGCAGGAAAGCTGTGGACGCAACATGAACACACACACAGACTTTGAGTGCATGAATGATCATATCATGTCTTTTGAGCATGTAACTTTTATGTCCTGCATGGTAGATGGCACCACCAACATACTGCATTTTACTCTTACAGACTGATAATTACCCTATGTGATGAATATACTTTATTCGGTTTAATATTAGGACCCAACTGATGTACACTTATATGCAAAAGTTTGAACAACTCTGGTCAAATGACATGTTTTGTTGATTTTGTGAAAATAAGTGAATACATCCTCTACAGAGAACACACTGAAATAGCACATCTTACTGCAGGGGTGTCCAAACCTTTTGTAAAGAGGGCCAAATCGCACAGTGTAAAAATATCAGAGGGCCAAAATATTATTTACAAATTATTCAAAATACTAATTTAAAAAAAAATAGCGCATAGATGCCCTGTTTCCTATCACCGTATACAAGATGTACAAGGCTGCTTTTGTTGTTGGATTGGATTTGGATCCATCAGTGCTTATAACAAATTATTAAATTATTCAAGAGTAACAGCAAAACATGTGTAAAGTATAAATTATTTTCCTATTCAAGTGCTTATTTGTTTAGACTAGATAAAAATAGATAAAAATCTATACATTTTCAGTTTTGTTAGATCATGATCTTTACATTTTCATTCAGAAATCACTTTTAAAAAAAAGAGCAGATTAAACAGCATAAGAGTCTGTATTGTTCAGTCTTAAAGGGTTAATATTTACTTCACTGAATTTGCTCTAAAAAAAGTGCTTTAGTTTCACTCCTGAATATTTAATGTTCATGCTGTGTTTCATGTCTGTTAATACTAAATTCATTACAGTCTTTTGAAATATGAGGCTCATTTGACTCTTGAAGGAAAAGTTAAATTTCTATCAAAATCTCAGATTCTCAGTGTTAGTTTGAGGTCTATGGCTGCAGTCTGGACTAAATGTGGGTCAGTAAACGAAGCTGCAGGTCTATTCAGAGAAGAAAGGCTGTTAAACTTTTGCTAATCTTGTTACCACAGTGTAACACGTTACACTGTGATTTTACAGCACTGCCGCCATCAGGTGGAAGTAAGAACTGCAGCGTACTGGCCAGAGGGCCGAATAAAATCTGTCCCCAGGCCGCATTTGGCCCTGGGGCCAGACTTTGGACACCGCTGTTTTACTGAGTGCACAATATCTATTCATTCCCTGAGTTCAACATATTAAAAAAAATAAAACATAAAATATTCAATGTGCTATGAAGTTGCACAGGCCACAATTTATGTTTTATTTTTTTTCCAATGTATTAAATTCAGCAAATAAACCTTGTGCACTAAAATGTACAGAAGAGTGTTCTCTGTAGACGATATGATAACTTACTTTGACTCAATGTCAAATCTCAACAAAATGTCATCTGACCAGGGGACCAAACTTTTGCATACAACTGTCTTGTTTAAGGTTCATGTCAGGTACTCGAAGTTTGAGAGGTCAACACTGTGAATTTGTGTAATGTAATATTTCTTTTATTCAAGGTTAAGTTTAACGTCAATGCGAATTGGATGTCACACTACATTTTCTTTTCATACTGTGATTTATGGAATCCCTCATGGCCTGCTTAATATATATAATTTTTTTTGATTAGCTTATTTAGGCTTACATTATTTATGTATTATGTTATCGGATTTTAAGTCTGTAACATTATCTGTGATAATATTTGCAAATTTTTGTGTCCTATGTATATTACTTGCTGATGTACATACCTGCAGAAGAGCAGAACATCCCTGCACTGAGGACCAGGAAGGCAAGCATGAGGCGGCCGACATGTAGTCCAAACTTCTTGCATACTGCCCTGCAATTAGCACACAATCACAGCTCTTTACAGCATCCTTATCATCTACCAGAGTGACGTTTTAATGGTTGTCTGGGGGAGGGGCTGGTTGTTGCTCACAATTTTTAGGCTCATTGCAGTAAAATTCATATTATGAGACATCATCCTACCAGTACCCCCCACCTCTACATTGATCCCAATCATAATCTAGTGGAAATAATCTGTGCAATGCACTCACTTGTAGAAGTAGAGCTCACAGACGCAACAAGTGAATGCTAACACGCAGCGGAGAAAGTAAAACACAAGGACCTGCAAAGACAACAGGAGAGAACATCACAGTGAATGGGTTACGCCAAACAGGAAATAGCTGGATAAAAAAGAAAAAGAAAAAAGAAAATTAAATAGGTAAAAAAAAACACGACAATTTAAAATGTGTAAAAATGTGAAATAATAAGTTAAACACAATTAAAGTAATGTAAAAAATAAACTGCCAGCAAAAGTAAGCAAAATAGTAAGAGCAAATAGAATGCTAAAGTGAAGAAGCTTTTTGTTTTTTTCCTCAGTCATGGAAGGAGCCTATTCTATTATTATTATTATTGTTAATAATAATAATAATAATAATAATAATAATAATCTGGCATAGTGGAAAAAAAATAGAAGTGGGCCAAGTAAAGAGCCTTGTGGTACACCACAGGGAATATCATTTTTTTGACACATGTTCATTTAGACTACCAAAATATTGTGTTTCGTTTAAACACGTAGATAACCAGTTTAACGCAGTTCCAGAGAGTCTAGGTTCTGTTTAAGAAGAGTTTTATAATGCATGTAAAACTGTGCTTTGATGTGTTAAGGGAGATCTGATGATATAAATGTAATCAAGTAGATTACAACAAAATATTCTGTAAAAACACTTCAACACTGGAATTTGATGCTATAACTATGTTGTCACTGTCTGAGCAAAGCCTTGTAAAATGTTCTTAACTGTAAATGGATGTTAATGGAACAAGATTTTTTTCCAAGTAATTTTGGAATATTTCAATTGGTCCACTGAACAAGGACACCTGCCATTTTTAAATTCCTGAAGAAAAAAGACAAAAGCTGAGATGCAGCGTTTTGTTTCAACATCACACACCATATATCATTACAATAATTACAAATAAACATAAATATTGTGAGCTAGTGATGTAACACAATGAAGCATTAAATAGCCAAACCAGGTATTGGATAATAACTACAATTAGTAGTGGGCTACAACAAAGAGGGGTTTGGAAATGGTTAAATAAACATTGACATCTAAAATAATTACTTCTTGCAACACATACTGCCAATAAAATAGCTTTTTAAATATAATTTTCACAGATGCCTAAAAATACAGATGGAGGCTAATTCTATTACCTTGTTGGTCTGCAGTATCTTGGCATGAAAGCAAGCAGGGAGGGCATGGAGCCACAAGTAAGCATAGGAGCGAATGGCATAGGCTGGGGAATACTCCCACGTCTGCATCCCTTTTCCATAAAGTAGGTAGTGTGTCTAAAGAACAAGGAAAGAAGTGCTAATTAATCACTTATAAAATATAAGGGTAACACTTTTATTGTGGTCCACTGTAGATGCTTTGTAAATGCTCACATTGGCTTTAACGGATATATACACTATACAGCCTAAAGCAGGGGTGCTCAGTCTTGGTCCTGGAGATCTACCACCCTGTAGAGTTTAGCTCCAACTCAAATCTAACACACCTGATCCAAGTAATCAAGGCATTTAGGGGCATCTGAATGTTAGAGCCATGTGTGTTGGATCTGAACTCTCCAGGGTGGCAGATCTCCAGGACCAGGATTGGGCACCTCTGGTCTAAAGTATGTGGATACCTGACCATCACACCTACACTATATGGACAAAAGTATTGGGACACCTACAGGAGCTTTTATGACATCTCATTCTAAATCCATAGGCATTAATATGGAGTCGGGCCCTCCTTTGCAGCTATAACAGCTTCCAGTCTTCTGGGAAGCTTTCTACAAGATTTGAGGGTGTCTGTGGGAGTTTTTGCCCATTCATCCCAAGGAGCATTTGTAAGGTCAGACACTGATGCTGGATGAGAGGGCCTGGCTCACAATCTCCATTCTAGTTCATGCCAAAGTTGTTCAATGAGGTTATGGTTTGTGCACAGGGGCACAGTCATGCTGGAACAGAAAAGGCCAACCCCTGAAAAACAAGCCCATAGCATTATCCTTCCTCCACCAAACTTTACAGTTGGCACAGTGCAGTCAGGCAGATAATGTTCTCCTGGCATTCATCAAACCCAGACTCATCCATCAGACTGCCAGACAGACAAGCATGATTCATCAGCCCACTGAATTTAATTTTAATTCCACATTTTCACTGCTCCAGAGTCCAGTGGCGGCACGCTTTACACCACTCTATACGACGTTTGGCTTTGTGCTTGGTTATGTAAGGCTTGCGTTCAGCTGCTTGGCCATGGAAACCCTGCCATCAAGCTCCCAGCGCACAGTTGTGCTGATGTTAACGCCAGAGGAGGTTTGGAACTCTGCAGTTATTGAGTCAGAAGGTGTTGTTTTTTTTTTTGTTTTTTTTTTGTTTTTTTTTTACATGCTACGCGCTTTAACACTCAGCAGCCCCGTTCTGTGCGTTTGCATGGTCTATCTCTTTGTGGCTGAGCTGTTGTTGCTCTTAGATGCTTCCATTTCACAATAATAGCACTGACGGTCAGGGCAGAAATTTCCCAAACTAACTTGCAGCAAAGATGGCATTCTCTGTCATGGCATGAAAGCGCCATATTTGAAGTCACGGAGTTCTTCAGTATGAACCATTCTACTGGCAATGTTTGTCTGTGGAGTTTGCATGGCTATGTGCTTGGTTTTATAAACCTCTGAGCAATGGGTGTGGTTGGAACACCTGAACTCAATAAACAGGGAGCATGTCCACATACGTTTGGCCATATAGTGAAACTAAATATCTATTAAATTCACCATAACTTTTTCCCTAACCCTAAATCTAACACTCACTCTAAACCTAACCTCAACCTAGAACCAAAACCTAGACCTAACCCTGGCCCTAACGCTAATCCTAAATCTCAATTCTAACACTACTGATATTCAGATGAGTTTTACCATATGGTTCAACAATGTGCACATTTGTAGATAAGCTACTGGGGGACCATCAAAATAAAACAGAAACAAAAGAAGTTTCATCAAAGGATTTTTCAGCACTGAACACTCTCATACAATTGGTTCAACTCACCGGCTCCCAATAATTGAAGGTTTCATCGCAATCTGAGATGTTGCTGAGTAGGGCAGCGCAGAAGCGGGCAGACACCAGGCACTTGAAGGCTGTGGAGCCTTCCGGGGCCCACACCTGCCCTGCTTTACCAGACGACCTGAAATGGTAGAGGGGTGGGGCATAGGGGGTGATGTGCTTATCTGGGAAAGATCTAAGAAGCAGCCAGTGGGGGACAGTGCAAGGAGGGTGAATAAGGTTATGCCACTTTGTCAAAACAGCACTGCTACCAAATACAACTGCTACCTATACTGCTATTGAAATCATGCCTTTCATTCGTGTGTAACTTGCATTAACGTTGACCCACATACTTGTATATGTTACACTGGTATTATGGTATGCGAAACAGACAGCAACAACCTATAATCAGTCCATCAAAAGGGAAGTGCACCAATTTTTCAAGCTTTCTGTCAGAGTGATTTGATTTTAAATGGTTCATTGTAGAGAAACTTGCTGACTTACATTTCTTTAGAGTGGTGGTGACAGGAACCAGGAACCAGGCTTTATAACTCCCTGAGTATACCTCTCTGCCATGAATAAACTGTAAAAAGTACATTTTAGGGCCAAAAATTCTTAATGCTACTGTAACACATTGTCTCAGGGATCAGACAACATATCCATAACCATTCTATGTAATCATTTTCTGTGAACACACTTTAAGAGACATTCTTACCTCTTCAGATGTCTGGTTCCTACCACCACCACTGTGAACAATTCTGACTGCAAGTTTCTCCAGAATGGAGCATTTCACATCAAATCACTCTGAAAGACTGTTTAGATATTATCCTAACTGATTTGCGTAGCTGAACATTCTGAGGATAAACATTGTCATATACTTTGTGGCTGTGTATGGTACAGGGTGATTCAAAAAGATTCATCTGATTTCAAAGCGCCATATTTTTACAACCTTGAGGTGCCTAGGAACCAATCACAATCCAATTGAAAGAGGGGGTCATACAGTTTCTATCAACGGAAGAGGGTTCCCTTCAGTCTGCGAGGAGATGGCGACCCCTGAGCAAACAGCGTTTTGTGTTCTCCACTTCAATAAGAGTGAATCCGTCATAACTATGCAATGTGGTTTTCGTCGGCAGTGAACCTCCAACACTGGATGATCTCCAAAATCACACTGAAAGAGCCGTGAGTACAGTGACACCCGACATGCTAAATCAAGTATGGGATGAATTTGACTAAGGTGTTGATGTTGTCCGTACAGCTGGAGGAGGTTCATACTGAGCACTTATAAAATTACATAATAAACTTCGTGCTCAGTTAAACCATTTACAATTAACTGTATTGTTCTGTAATGATTTACAAGTGAAATAAATCATTTTGAAATCGGATGAATCTTTCTGAATCACTTAGTATTTATTTGTTTACTATTTATATTCTGTATTGTCCATTTACATAAGCACCAATTTCACCACGACATATTCCATGTACATGCACCTGTTAGCTTCCTGACCATTTGAACCACACACACACACATACAGACATCATCTAAACCGCTTATCCTTCTGGGTCACGGTGGGGTGCTGGAGCCCATCCCAGCTGTCACTGGGCGGAAGGCAGGATACACCCTGGACAGGGCGCCAGTCATTCGCAGGGCAGACCCATTTGAACCATTAAGATTAAAACCAGATGATTTTGCTTTCTAATCGGAAATGACTTAATGGTCACCATTAAAGACCAGGTTTCATTTTCTATAGGACACCTTTAGATCACAATAAATACATCTAAAACCAGTCACAGGTCCTGATATACCAAAGGAACCAGAAAACCTTTAAAGCTTATATATTTAGCCAGGAGGCCAATGACGTGATTTTGAATGAAGCCAAAATCAATGTTGTGTGAATGTGAACACGTCAACATGTGGCTACAAGAGATACAATAATTCATGTTCCTTTGAATGGAAATGTGAACACTAAGGGGGCAAACTGAGGTTGAGAACGAAGTAATTAGGCAGTGAAGACAGTGAAGACATGTCCAGCAGCCGGACACACAGTACCTAAGTAACTCCAAGCAGGCTTAAATAACCCAGCTGGCTAAGAAGCTCCATGATAAGAGAGAGAACGACGAGAATGAAGTTGGCTTCCTATTCGCCAGCTGCTACTTCGAATTTTCACGTTCCACCTTAAATGGTGCAGCAGTTACATTCTGGCCTGAGGTACCAGAATGTAACTGCTGCGCCATTTAAGGTGGAACGGCAAAATTCGAACAAGAACCTGCCGGCGAATAGGAAGCTGACTTCAGCGTCGTGAGAATGAATGAATGAAACTGATGTTACACGTCGCTCGCTAGCAAAGTCAGCTAAATCCCTCAAGAGGAAACACCAGACGACCGAATAAATCTGATGTGTACTCGGTTTTCCACTGAGCCAGTTTCGAGGAGGAATGTGTATTTAGTGGAGTTTGAACTCTGCAGGTCGCATCGTTACGTTAGGCTTCTTCGCCACAGCAGCTACTAGCGCTGAGCTGAGCTGCGCTGAGCTGTCACTCAGCAAAACAACACGGCATTTCAGCGGCTAACCGGCTCCCTCCGTTACTCACTCGTTCCGTGTTTCGCTGGATTTTCCATCGTCAGCTGCCTTTTCGTCCTTCGCCGCTCGGTTTTCGCCGCCGGCTGAGCTGCTGTTGACGTTGTTGGCGTCCTGTTTGCTCCCCCGTCTGTTGCGCTGACGGACCCCCTTCGTCGCCATGTTTACTACTGGAAAATCATGGCGGCGTCCTGTGCAGCTAACGTTACACTTTCGTTTTACGGCCGTGAGCCATGTTTGGTTGGGGCAACTTGATTAGTCGAGGTGTCACACGGGTGGAAACCTGACATCTAACCTATCTAGATCATCTAACCGCCTGTTTATCATGACCTGTTGTTTGAGCAGCAGCGCAGATATGTATTTCCGTTAAAGGGGAATCCCTCCGAATTTCCGTATTATTCAGTTGTTGGGATGTAAACAAAGTTGTTCCGAGTGGTTTGGTGGAAATGGTTAATTGTAGAGAAACTCATATTTCTTTACAGTGGTGGTGATAAAAAAACATTAGTCGTGACGTCTAAAACGCACATATGGCAACTTGCCAGTGATTGAGAGTAAGTTTTTATATGTAGTGTTGGTTATTTTTCCAAACAGAAAAGAAATATTTTAAAAAAAATGGACAAAAATGCTTTTTATACATAAAAAAATACAAAATAAAATTGTTTTATACACTTTAACGTTTGAAATACAGTTTAGAATGAAATAATATGCTTGATAAAGCACCTCACATAAAAAAAAACTGTCACATCTGACAAAGCTTGCTGGTTGTGTGAGGTATTTAGGTTGCCAGTCTCATAACGTTAATTCAGTGCGCTGCAGTGTTAGCTTTTGCTTGCATGTAGCAATATTTATATTTAGGCTCCTTAATGACCTCCTAATTCAGTAAAAAGGACCAAAAATGACACAGGTATAAATAGATAAATGAACAAATAAATAATTAAATATATAAAGAAAAAAATTAATACATACATTTGGTCATTTATTTGTTTCTACATATTTTTATTTATTTATTTATTTATTTATTTTTTAGTCCTCCAAATTTCAGAGGATATGGCAATGTTATGAGGAAAATTTCTGTAAGACGCTACAAATTGGTTTTGGGATATTTTTGTTTACTACAATGTGCATTGACAGTAGTTTTCAAGAACACTATTCATTACATTGTGATATCAACCCATTAAAAAAGCCAAAACACATTACAAAACTTAGGAACCAACAGAAACACTTAATGGTTTCTCTGGGTTTTTTCAGCAGGGTACATGTTTTGTTGATTTTCTAAGTGAGAATAAGTCAACACTGTTTTCCACAGAGAACACACTTCTGCACATTTAAATGCACAATTACTGTTTATTGACTGAATTCAACATATTGGGGAGGTGTAAAACATAAATGTGGCCTGAGCAAAAGTTAACAAGACAGCAAGCATATATCTGTCCACTGGCTTGATATGTATGGCAGACCAGAGCTGCCAAAATGAAAAATACATAAACTAAAAAATAAATGGCTCAGTAAATTAATATATGAATTAGAATGGCAAAGAGTAATGATGATAAATCTAAAAATAAATATACATAGAAATTAATATATTAATAAATAAAACCTGACATAAATGAATATGTCTGCATTTACTTATGTCTATTTAGTTTATTTATTTATTTTGTTATTTATGTTTCTTTATTAACATTTTTTATTTATTTATTTAAATAACTATTCATTTCTATATTTATTCATTTCTATATTTATTCCTGTATTTCCTTGTCCTTATGATAATAAAGGGCCTGTTAATCAATGATGTCACAATGTCTTAATATTCTTATTGGTTGATTGATATCAGATTATGTAGATCGATTGTACATGTCTTGCTCTCTCAGTGGCTCTCTCAATTTTGTCTAATACTCTGCTTAACCACCGGTGGGCCGCCCGGAAAACGCTGAGCAAAACGCCAGTGGACCACCAGCTTTGTCATCACCGGGCCTACAGTGGACCACTATCCTCTTGCTATCAGGGTTACATTTTTACAATTTTTTAAATGTTTGCAATATGTGAAAATCAGCAAATAAACAGAAATTGGGCACTAAAATGCTGTTTTTAGGTTTTCTGTAGAGGATGTGTTAACTTTGGTTGAACTGACCCCTAGCTAATCCCCAACCCCTTAGGTACTATTGCTATGTCTCATGGTGATGTGATTTATCCTGTAAAATCTGTGGTAATTTTTAGAGCATCCAGAATTTCAGAAATGAGAAAAAACGATCTTCAGGATGCATCTCCATATATAACACTATGATCTCTTGCCATTGTTTACCTCATACCCCAAATACTCAGCCAAGACATGCTGTCCAAAGTTGGCTTTAGTTCTGCACTGGAGCTACATCAGCTAATGGAAACTTGTACACCTATTAGCATCATGCATACTGCACATCTAAATCATCAGAAATCTTATTGAAAGTGTGAGGAAAAAGGTAAATATGATTTCTTGCCAAACTATTGCTTTGGGAAAAGACTGAAAAGAGTTTATTTAAGTCATTTTGGCTATTTTTTTTTAGAAATATGGGCTTCTAAAGTAAGATACTAAACACAGACCAAAACAGGTCTACTTTAATATGCCACAAATGCAGGAATGCAATATTCTTTTACAGTTGTGCTGTTATTTCTACGATATGGTAAAACGTGATGAACAGAATGCATTTATTCATGTTATAAATTGCAGTAAATGGCTTATTGCTATAGTTTAAATGTTGTTGGTAGTGATGCCTTTCCACACGTTATCCCATTATTTTCTTCCCTCTCGGGTGCAGGAACAGGCTAATAAGGAAAATATTTTTAGTTTTCTAAAAAAAGGTTGGTGAATGTTTCAATGCTCATTCATAGGGGTGGTTGTTTCCATGATACATGACACACATCACTATATTTTATTTTGTTAAGAAGAAAAACAACAGAAAAAGCCTCAGAAGATACAATTAAACTACATTTACACCCAGCAACTATGAGTACATTGATTTTCGTTCAACATTTTACATACCGTGCTACAGTAAATCCAGATAAACAGGACTAATTCTGCTCCCTTTGTAAATAAACATGCAGCTGTGGAGTGTTTGAGTACTAATGATATACGTGATATGCTTAGAAAAAAAAAGTGTGGCGCAATATATCACAATGCTACAAAACACCATCACATTGTCCACCTCTACTCATTCATAATTCACAAAATAATCTGAGGATGTAATGCAACTGCTTTTATGACTGTACAAGATTTTGTACTCGAAATGGATGCAGTTTTATGTCATTTGGAAGTATCTTACTTTAAAACTATGAACTAAATTGGTTTTAAAGGGCCCATATCCTACATTTTTGTAGTGTTTTATTTTTTTCCCTTATAATGTTTATATACACCGATCAGGCTTAACATTATGACCACCTCCTTGTTTCTACGCTCATTGTCCATTTTATCAGCTCCACTTACTATATAGGTGAACTTTGTAGTTCTACAGTTACAGACTGTAGTCCATCTGTTTCTCTGCATACTTTGTTAGTCCCCTTTTACCCTGTTCTTCAGTGGTCAGGACCCCCATGGACCCTCACAGAGCAGGTACTATTTGGGTGGTGGATCATTCTCAGCACTGCAGTAACACTGACGTGGTGGTGGAGTGTTAGTGTGTGTTGTGCTGGTATGAGTGGATCAGACACAGCAGTCATAATGTTATGCCTGATCGGTGTAGGTTTATGTACCAGTACAGTCATAATACTTTTTATATCACCATTTCCAATCTCTGTTTATCCCTTAGAATTAAACAGGCTGTTTTCAAAAAGCAACACTCCTTATAACTTAAGTGTGAAACTGCTATAGGTTGAACATACGTAAATGTTTTAGCTTCCATGATTTCAATTCAAAATAGGCTGTTTTTGCAGGTTAGTTTCTATATATGGACTGTATCAGCTATGAAGTGAAGGGTACATTTGGAAATTTTAACATTTACATACTACATTAAATTCTCTTATTTCAGAAAACAGAGGAAAACTCAGTTTTCCCATGATATGTGCCCTTTAAAATGAAAATTTATGAAAAACAGTTGGACTGTTCCTTTAATTCCCTGAGAAACTGGCTCTACTCTTGAGCCTTTCATATTAACCCCTTACATGGCCAGGGCCCGCCAGCAGGCCCAATGTTTTATTACACACTTCTATTACCTAATAACAGCTCAACCAGTTTGCATTGAAGTAGATCATGTAGATTCCCTGTAGTTACTGATTAATAAGCCTTCGTGTGTATTATGAAGGATATTTTAAGGGGTTAAGTGATGGAAAAAAACAGAACAGTCCAGATGAGAACAACAAGGGGTGAAAGTCTTTTGTTACCAAAATATGTAGAAAGCATGAACACTGAGGCTTTTGACTCTCAAATGGTTTGGGAACAAAGGATAAAGTTTAATCTGGATTTCAGAGAAGTCCCATTTTATGGGCTCAAGCAGACCCAGGCAATTCACTGAAAATGTACTTTTTCCCAAGAAGCAGCTATTTTTAAACATTTGCACACACAACTGCACAAAACCTTAAGCAGTACCAATCCCTTTCAAAAACCGTAATCATTAAAATCCACTTAAAATCAAAAACAGTCATTCAAGTTCAAACATGACCATTCTAAAGGCAAAATCCATCATTTTATATAGCAGCATATTCACTGTAAACGTATGGGATTGTATACATGAATAAATGAAACCAAACCATACGAAATAAGATTCTTATTACTGTTCACTGAAAGTCTCTTCTTGATATGAAATATAGTCTATAAGTCATTGGCATAAACATGCCTGATCATGCATCATTAGCATCCAGATAAACTCTTCAAAGAAAGCAAGAGTTACTAACAGTAACTTAAAGGTACATTAATTAAGATTTTACATTGTGTTTATCTGGTTCAGTGCATAGGCATCGCCTCATTATTACCTCTTTGCTGCTTACATTGGTTGTGATGTCAGCAGAGTACAGTACTGTGCAAAAGTCAGAGACCACCCTTCATTTAATTCCAGTCAAAACAGCCATTATGTACAAGTTATTCATTTTTCTACTGAGTGTTCAACTTATAACATTTTGCTGTGTCCACATTTGCCTTTGTTACAGCTTCCATTCTTTACAGAAGACTTGCTTCCATTTTCTCAAAGAAATCTGCAGGGATATTTTTCCACACCTCCAAAGTTCAGTCACAGAAGCTGGTTCTATTTTCTGCTTCTCACACTCCAAGTAAACCCAAACACACTCACTTTTGTTGAGGTCTGGACCCTGGGGTGGTCAGTTCACTGTTCTACCAGCAGCTTCTTTTGTGTGCCAACAGCGAGATGTCAGATTTTCCAATACTTACTTTCTTTTACTGTTCAATTAATTTCTTCTCAAACTCTCTTTAAGTTTTTGGTAGATGTCCTCACTTATTGTACTTATTAATATCATTTTGAGACATGTTTTATTTTATTCAATTATCTCATTTCTTACATCATACATGAAATTAGACACCATTAGCATTTTGTAAGAAATTGCCATGTTGACACTAAAATATCCAATTCAATTTGAAGGTGAGTTCAACCAGTTTTTTTAAATGTCTGCATAATTCAGTTGATGAGATGTAAACAGTCATTCAGAATGGTTTGATATGCAATGGTGTACTATAGAGAAATTCTCAACTCAGATTTCTTTACAGTTGTGGTGACAGGAACCAGGGGTCACAATGTCAACAATGCAAATCGAGCCATTTTATTTACTCTCCAAAGCCACCTGTAAACCAGAGAAGTGTAATGTTGATAATGGTAAAATAGTGGAAATCTGAAAATCTTCCTTCAATGTATTTTAAAAATATGCTTTACATTAAAAGTGTATCTCAACACTATCGTAAAACAATGCCTCAGTCATCAGGCAACCTAGTCACTACCATTCTGTGTAAATACGTTGTGTGATGTAGGTTTTAGAGTCATTAAACCCTTCAGACGTCTGGTTCCTATTCACACCACTGTGAACATTTCTGAAGTTTTACTTGAATAGAGCATTTCACACCAAACCATTCTGAATGACTTTGTTTACATCTTACTGACTTAATTAATACTAATAATCTAACTGTCCAAAAATAATTGCATTGTTCATGCATTTTCAACAGCTCTTTAGGTCAATCACATCGATCACATTACATCTGTTAAAACACTTCTACTACAGAGGGTAGGGATATACTTTAATATTAAGTTAATCAGTTAATGATATTGAGAAAGCCCTAATTTCTCCTTTGTTTTACAAAGACAAAGGCAAAATGCGCTGGCCCATATACTGGCTTTGGAAATGGCCATTTATCGTAAACAATTATATAACTTGACTCTATTTGTAATTATGTTATTCAGTATGTTTATTCGGTAAGTATATTTCCATCTTTTTTAATGGACACAATTTTTGTCCTTTATTATTTTATTATTTGTTTAGAATCACTGCTGCACAATGAATACTTAGATGGAAACACAGCTAGAGGCAAGAATACAAACCCAGAATCTTAGTGGCCATCTGGTTTGTTATCTAATGCTGTTTTAATGAATTTTGAATATGGTAACTTGTATTAATAGTTCTAAAATGGAGCTTGCTCTTAGCAAACTTACAGAAAGGGCACAAAGAGATAACTTTCAAAGACAGCGTTTCTCCTCGTTCACTGACAGCCTTCGGCATGTATTAATGGACCAGCTATGAAGGTTTTGGTAGTTGCACAAAAATGAAATAATGCCACAACGTTACAGTCCTGAGTACATTTTCGTTGTAGAGATAAGTGAGCAGAACAATTACTGGGGGTATAAAAAGTCAGAATCCTTATTTTATATATTCACAGTCTTCAGTCTCACTTCACCTGGAGATTCCATTAGGATCCTATAAAACATAGTTTACATTCCAGTTCAAGGGACCCCCGGCCCTGCACATCTGCAAGTATTTTGTACCCCAACACAACTAATGCAAGCTTGTCTCATAGGGCCGGACATGATCTTTAAATAAGAATACTCATTTAGGGGCTACTTCTTGAATTTTTGTGCTGGATTGTGACAAAATCTGCCGTAAGCAAGTATATGCTACGTCTTAAATCCACCCCCAAATTCCTCTAGTCTGTGCTCTTTTAACATCCAACCCTTAATTAACCAAAAACCTCTCATGGTTGTCCTCAGACATTATCAATACGAGATCACGTCTCGACCCATGAGACAATTAAAAGGGCTTGATAAACAGTCAGTGAGTTGGATCAGATGATAAGATGTGTTGGGTCAAGGAATACTTGAAACTGTGCAGGGCACTGGATCTCCAAGACTGGAGCTGAGAATCCGTGGTTTACATGTTTAAAGCAGCCAGTGTCGGTGATTTTTCTGCAATGTTCATGTCATTTTTAGTTGTAAACACCATACTGTTGGATCACCTCCTTATGGGTTTTTACCTGAGGGTCACTTGCAAACGAAGAGGCAACAGTCTGCGAAGCTGGTTCTGCAGGCCCAGTACCTGGCTGTGGGACAGGGCGCGGTCGGGCGACTGGTAATCCAGCCGGTAGCACAGACTGGCATGGCCCATGTGCGGGTGACGGAAGCGGTCCACCAGTTTCACATTCTTGACCGCGCCACCTGTGGCCACCCGCACCACAGCATGGAAATCAAGCTCATCGAAGCTGTCCGGTTCCATCCAGAAGCTGATGTCATGAGAATAGCTTGGTGGGTACAGCGAGAAGGGCCGGAAGGGACCAATAGGCCGTGGTTCGAAATGTGCAAGGAAGCGGGGGTCAGCGCTCCACAGCAGTCTCCAGTCAGGGATGGAAAAGATCAGGGTGGCCAAGTGGTCTATATTCAGCAATAACACGCAAAGTTGGAGAGAACCCTGGAAGTCGGATCCTGGGACAGGGACAGACGTCATCCTGCCAAAGTTCTGGACATCTTGGGAGTACACCCAGATTTGATGCTCCTCTCCAAGGTGCTCCTCCTTGAAGGACACATTGTAAGGTGAGAGTAGAGCTTCCATGCAGTCTCTGAGGCACTGCAGGGGCTGAGATTTGGAGGGTAACACACCGACTAGGAGAAGCTGATGGTAGGCAGGGTAACGGTTACAGGATATGGGGACTCTCTGGAAAACCAGGCCACTCAATGCATGAAGAGTTCCAGGGCTAAAGTCCTCATTCTGCATGATCTCCTGCACATGCAGTAACAGAGATGGTCGCAGAGCATAGCTCCCACCAGAGCTCTGTTGATCCCCCATGGGCTCACAGTCTTTCATGCTGTCCTCGCATTGGTTAAGAGGGTGGGTTTCAATGGGCTTGATCCAGTAGACATCAGAAGGGGTCAAGTTCAAGCCACAAGACCGGAGTTTCTCTGGGGAGCAGGTAAGCAACTCTGGGAAGTTGCCAATAACTGTGCACACGGGCCATGAGGATTTAATCTCTCTAAGCAGCTGCTCCAGCACGATTTTTACAGGATGGTGTGACTGTTGGCTGAGGAAATCCCTGATGAAGAGAAGAATGAACAGCATGACCTAATTACAACTTTTATTAGGAAGTCATATTAATTTTTTGTTGCATGGGTGAGGACTGGATGGAAAAGAAGATATTTGTATGATCAATCCAAGGTATTCAATCTATTTTAGGCAAAAAAGTTTTTATTTTTTAAGATTTTTAACGATGTAGGTGAAGGAAACATCCATTAATGGTAATCTTTATCTACAAATCTCTATAAAATTCTCAATTATTTAAGTCTTGCAGAAAATCAGTAGAACTGCCAGTTGAAAATACTGGAAACACTGTCAGCAGCAAAGATAATGCAATTATGAACAAATGTAGATTTAAGTGACGTACATCTCCAGAATTAAGGACACCTAAGATCATTTGGCTATGTATTAATGAGGCAAATGTTGTTGTATGCCATCTAAATATGATATGTATTGATAGTTTATTTTGCCTACCTGTTCACATATTCACTCAGTTCTTCTGGAACCTCAAAGCTCACGGCCTCCTTTCCAATTGTTGTGACCATTTTCAGCTTCTCTGGCATGGTGTATGGCAGACTCCGGGTAAAAACGTGGTTCAGTGCCCCTTCTACATGAAAACCTTTGTCTTGACTCCTGCAGAGAAATTTCAAGCATGCAAACACGGCTGCCAAATCATCATGTCAAATAAATAAAATCTTGCTACATTATAAGCGGGGCTAGTCTGAATAATTGGAATACTCAGTTTCTCTATTTAATATTCAGAGGCTTTGTCTTGTTTCATCTTCGCCACAAAAACTGCAGCCTAACCCACATAACATTTCAGCAAAGGCCTTTAGACAGAAGAGTTATTGTTAACATATGTTAATAGAGATGTTAACAATAAACTAACTCAAAGCTGGTTTAGTTTAGAGGTGAGGAGGGGGTGAAGTTCTCCCCAGCCTCTTCTAGGGTGGTCTGCATTTTGATGGGCCTGAAGTTCCAAATGCTCACCAATCCCGCACTGCAAACTAACCAAATAACATGAGTAAAAAAATAAACTAAAACTGTGATTACTACATAAAATGATCATTCCAATTTGTTACACCCTGAGCATCTACATGATAATCTGCTAATGCACTGTCACCTACTGAATATATTCTGAACTGCAGTAACAAACATACTTAGTATTATAGTTTATTATAAAGTAAATATTACTGGTTTTAAAAGTGATTTTGTGAAGCTGTCTAGTGTTCGTTTGGAAATAGCTTGCAAAATGCTGTTTGGGCCAGCCCTAATTATAATATATTCATGTTAAGGTAGACATTAGTAACAGTTTGCCCTTCTTCTATAAAGTTAACATTTCGGAGATACAAGGTTTTGTACAATACGAGGTTTAAGATACAGCAGAAACCATTATTCTGTATAGATGTGTGTTACAAGTGCTTTAAACAAATCTTGCTGGTTACAATGGAAGTCTTTTAGTATGCCTTAATAAAAACATCTCCTTACCTGTAACCTGTGCATCTGTAACCTTGATATTTGTCACGATCAAATGGGTGAATTTCACTGAGGATGAGTCCTGCCTCTGCTGCCATGGCAACTGCCTGCCAGCTATTGTGCCACTCTCTCATGGGGTTGTCGTATGGAGTGCCGCCTTGTCCGTTGCACAAAGCCACGTGCACTTCTCCATTGTCCTTAAGCACTTCGGCACAGCTAGAAAACACAAGCAGAGAGCGCTCTTTACACAGGCAGAGAGCATCATTCACAAGCGAGGGTTGCGCTGACACTGTGAGAACGGCTAAACAGTGTTTCAGCCCCTCATTATGACTCTTGTGTAACACTGCAAGGCTTACATAACGGCCAAACAATCCTCAGGGGTCTCCAGAGGGCCTTGCTTACCTCGCAAAGAACTTGGCCAGGAGGGTACGGTTCTTCTTGACGCCGCTTTTACGGCCACAGTGAGGAAAATTGAAGATGATGCAGTCATAAAGATGATGCTGAATGACCTCATGCTCCTTTAAGCATGTGCAGTCCACCCCAAAAAGGACAGTAGAGCCTGTGAAAAGACACAAAACCACATACATATTATTAGGTTTATGGTTTGGTCCTTTGTTAAGACACCTTAATGGGCCTCCCACAAACTGCAACTGGAAGTTTGAGAAGGCTTTTTATCCCCGTGGCTGCTTCATAGCAACCAACTGTGTAAATATACCAACATGGTCACAAGCATGCAAATCCATTGGGTTATGACACCGCATGAGTAGGCAGGACGACTGGCTCAAATGCAAAATAAAGTTGACACATGAGCTTATAAATGCAATTTGAATACATATTTATAAACACAAACTATGAGAGGGATTTTAAGGAAGCTTTTTACCCCTTTTGCCATTTTGTAGCAACCCACTACGGAAGTACGATGCCTAGACCACTGGTCTGCAAATTCATTGGTTTATGACACCTCATGAGTGGGAAGAATGACTGGCTCAAATGCAAAACAGAGTCAACACATAAGCCTATCAAGCCAAGGAACATAATTTCAAATGTAGGAATAAAAAATGACCAGATCACACATTAAGAGAATAGGGCATCATTCAGAGGAACCCTGCCTAAACACACTATGTGTACGATTGTTCAAAACATTGCCATAATACTGTAGCATCCTGAGAGGAGGACTGACATTAGGTATTAATACATATATATCAATATCTAACCAGACAAGAAATCTAATTGGGCTGCTTTTTAATAAGGATAATGGTTTTATATACCATTTATCTTTAAAACGTATTAATAGATCGAAATGCCTACTAATTAAAGGTGGGTGATAGGGCAAGAATATTACATTACAAAACTGGCATATATTTTCACAATACATAATATGTACCATGCTATTTAGTTTTTTCTGAGTTTGCGAACAAATCGGAACTAATGAAACTGGAACTAATGAAAATGCACTCAGCCAGTCACTATTATCATATATTTGCCTGATCACAATTATTTGAGCTGACTGCAGTCATGCTCCATACTTGTTTGCTGTCACAATTATATGTTTAAATTCTGTTAACAAAGAGAATTTAACTAGACATGTTTTTTCTGTCCTTCTGACCGGTGCTACAACGCATATAGAGGGCAGCAGTGAGTAATGTTTGTTTATTTGAGCTTGAGCTGTTTCTGTCATCAGTTGGAAGCTACTCCAGAGAATTGCAGAGAGGAGAATTACCACTCTGTAATGTCTTCCGGGTTTCTTAAACGCTAGAGGGCGCTCCTGTGCGAGTCCAAAATAAATTAAGATGGAGTATTTGAGCAAAATCATAGTTTATGAATGTGTAAACAATTTTAATATGAAAGAATACAATCATTTCCTGAACACAGGACAAAATAAAACATTTTAACACTGCTGTTTAAAACGGCGCCTCACGTACGTTCATGATGTATGTCAGCGCGAACAGCCAATGAGCTGCCCCGCTCGCCAACCAATCAGCACTCAGTAGCAGTAATGCCAGCGTTCTGCTGCCTAAAACCCATTTGCTGTACAAACAAGGAAACATACAGGTAAAGTCTGCTTTGTTTTTGGTGAAATACAAGCTTCTACTTTCTAAAATTGAAGGAAAGCTCTGGGTGAGTGATTAGAAACTATTTTAACTTTTTGTTTTTAGCCATTTTCGCTTCATTCACCTCCATTCACTGAGGACTCGCTGGCGGGCACCATCTTGTGTTTTGCAGTCATGTTTTCGATATAACGGGGGAAATAGGAAGACGGCTGGCTCCTCATAAACCAACTTTTATCACGTTAGACAATTAAATGATTAATTATTATATTACTGGTTAGATGTTATGTAATTGTTATGACATTAATGTGATTATTCAGTGGTGGCAGTTAATCGTCAGCTAAATTTTGCGATCATGCCTAAAATGCACACACAAAACAGTAGTAAAAACACAAGTACAATGGCCTCATTCACCACCTCTTCTTCAAAAGAAATTTCTTCTTAAAACCCACTTACACAGTTTTCACAAAGATTCTGACATTCACCAGTGTTTTCTTATTTAGGATTTCTTCTTAGGTAAGAACAGAATCTACACACACTCCAGCATAAATCCTGTGGTTTAACAACACGTCATGAATCTGTTTTCTTAGGATCTTTTTCAAGGTCAGGTTTAGGAAGAAACCTAGGAAGATATTGCTAAATGAGGCCCAATGACATTTTGCATTTAAATCAAGGCTGGCATGGAATCAGCTAATCAAACTATGTAGTTTATGCAATTACACTGGTTGTTGTTGTTTTTTATAATTTTATACTTTATACTCAGAAAAGTGTACTGTGACATAATTTATCACAGTAACAATAAAATGTCCCGATGTTGTCAAATCTTTTGAGTATTGCAAAACAGCTGATTTATGATTTTAAAAACTTTGTAGGTATTTTTTTTACAGTGAAAAACTAAAATTAGACTGAATCAAAGAAGGCAAACTTATGATGTTCATGAATGCTCAGAAAAGTAATGCAGTATCACGATAACATACGATCATATTACCTGTTCACATTTTACTCAACTGCTCTGTGAGTACAAAGCTGAAGGCAGCCTCTTATTCGAATTTTCCGTTCCACCTTAAATGGTTCATCAGGTCCATTCAGGCGCTGCACATTTAAGGTGGAACGGTGAATTCGAGCAGAGAAAGCCGCGTTCTGGACGTTCAGAACTGTATCGTTCTCACTGTTATGGATAAACATACCCCGGTCTCGGAGATGCTGGATGTTCTTCTCGGCGTTTTCCCGAGAAAGGGCTTCGGCCTCAGGCTGCAAACAGGTGCCTGTAACTCGGACGCCGGGCGCCAGGCTCTCGCTCAGCGCTGCTGCGAAGGAGAAGTTTCCTTCTCCCACCAGGAGCACCTCTCGGGTTATGGACATGGCTGGTTGGCTGGTTGGCTGGCTAGCTGGCACGTTTCCTTCGTTGTCCTGCTTTGGCAGTAGTGTCAAACTTTGCCCACCATCTCGACCAGAGCTGGACTTCTTCTCCGCTTCGTGTACTCGAGCTTCAACGCTGTAACATCAGAAGAACAGCAGCAGCAGCATCGCCTCGCTGACTGACCGACTGATGCTGCGGTCCGTCGCTGAAATACACTCCTGCAGTTTCGTCTGTTTTTACCAGTAGGTGGCCTGAAGCTTTCGGCACTGTTTACTCAAGTTCTTCTGCGACATCTGAGGGCAAATATAGACTGAAAAAACATTACGGAAAGAAAGAGAGGCTGTCTTTTCTTTGGGCCACCGGTTGAGCTCCCCTGCAGTTCAGTTGCGTAATAAGCCGGGAGAGAGGGGGAGAGAGAGAGAGAGAGAGAGAGAGAGAGAGAGAGGGAGAGAGACAGAGAGAGAGAGAGAGAGAGAGAGAGACAGAGAGAGAGAGAGAGAGAGACCGCGACCGCGCAGGATGTAACGTTAGATGTGAGACTTTCTGAGTTACCTCAAGGCTAAGTTCCGTTCCTGTGTGATTTAAAGAGACCTCAAGCGGCACACACACGAACTAAACTATGTCCAAATTAATATTAATATTAATATTTACTTCCCAAGGCTACTCTTTCATTTGGCCCGCTTGTAATTTTGGAAAGCAAGGTTGAGGAGCAACAGTTAAAGTAGTCCGGAGGGAAACCGTGGCAGAAGTACGCCGCAGGCAGGACCTCTAATAAATATGTACGCCTTTAAATAAATAAAGGAAGCCCAAAAGCCCATCGTTTCTTAACATTAGACAAACTTTTATTTTTACATACCGATTCTATTTTATAAACCAGAGACACGAAAGTGACACCACGTATATAACAGATTCTCAGGCTGAATCTCAAATGACTCCGTACTCCCTACGTAGTGCTCTATATAGACCTTTAAAATAAGGTCTTCTGCACCCAGACAGCGCCTAAAATGTCTAAATCATAGCCTTCTGCGAATCGGACACCTGTGTACACATCTATAGTGGGCGTATAGTGCACTATTTGGGTGAAGAAGCCAAAATTTCATAACTCACATAGTAAACTACAAAGTAGGGAGATTCAGCCTAGGACAAATGAAATAATAGCTTCCACGGGGTGGGCGTGCCCTTCACCTTTGACTGACAGGCGTGAACGAGGGACGAAAATAAAACAAAAAAAAGATTAAAAGTAGTTATATGGCGATATTATTTATACCACAATCGCTAATAGAATAAGCTAAATATATTGTCTTAATAGAGAATATAGCATTATTATTTACAAAATAGTTCTAGTTAGAGGGCAGGAAGGGAAGGGAAACTCCCCTAAGTTAGTTCACAAGAAACGAAAACGAAAGTATTCTACACATTCGCTCGTTCTATTTCTCAAACGGAGGATCACTTAACCAACAGGTTAGTTTTGCTTCTCTTTTATATCATTCACTTTTTGAGTCATACCTCAGGTCTTTATCTATATCAAAAACAGTATTATCAGTGTATCTACAGTATCAACTTTCCTGTGTGATTTACTTTTGTTCTGCTTGTGTATTATAGACAGGGAAAACAGAAGAAGAAGATGTCTTCTATCACCTTCTTTGGCTGGAGCGTACAATATGATGAGGACCGACACCTGAGGGCCGAACAAGAGCCCAAATCGGGCAAGCGCTACACCATGTACCATGGAACCAAGGTCCAAACGGCACGCTCCATCATCCAAAACGGCTTCCGACAGTCTGCTGACGGCATGCTGGGACCTGGGGTGTATGTGAGTCGCAACCAGAAGAAAGCGGAGCGTTACCCGCTGAACTCGCCCGTCACTGACAGGGTGGTGCTCAAGCTGAGTGTGGACTGTGGGAAAATCAAACGAATCGACAAGGATAACCACCCTCTCCAGAAGACCTGGCACAGCCAAGGCTACGACACCGCCTGGGTGCCTCCCAACTGTGGCATGAAGGCCGTGCCCAGTGGCCTGGAGGAAGACTGCGTATGGGATCCAAAGCGCGTTGGAGTTGTAGACATTGCTTTGGCACCCAGCACCACCATTCTGGCTGACCTCAAGCAGCTGCTCGCCCAGAGCCAACCCCAGCAAGGCCCGGCCACACCAGGAACATGTCACTTATGCAAGTGTAAAGTAGTCCCGGCGCATAGCACACAAACCTGTTGGGGCTGCGGGGACACTATCTGCACCCTTATGACCCAGCACAAGTGCAAGCGCAGGGGATAGGAAGCCATTTAGAAAACACATGCCAAGATGGATTAGAGGATTAAAGATTAAGGATTAGGCTCGCTTTACCGGTTGGCCGCTGGGCACAGGTGCATAGGCCTTACTTTGCTTTTGCTGACAATCGCTTGTTTGAAAAGAGGTGCTCATAAATCAAGTTTTAAATTTATTAGATGCATCTACCTTGGTCCTACATTGGCCATATTCTCAGAAAAACCTACCATGAAGGAGCACTTTGTAGCACCTTACAGTCTCAAAAAAGAACCGTACCTTTCAGGATACAAACGCTGTCACTGGAGTGACACCTTTAACACTCATTTAAAGGGGAATTCCATCCATCTTTCAAAATCTTTGCATAGCTCGCTCATTAAGATGTAAACAAAGTCATTCAGAGGGGTTTGATGTGAAACCGCTCTGTACTAGAGAAGCTTACCACATCAGATTTGTTCAAAATGGTGGTGATAGGAACCGGTTGTCCTAAAACAAAAACTCTCTCACAGAAAATTATTACATGAAATATTTATGATGTATGATGCCTGACACACTGTTTTATGATAGATCTGAGATAAAGTTTAGGCCGAAAAAGTATTTCTAACCCAAAAAGCAAATTTCTTTGTATTGGTACATTTTATATCAAACCACTTTGAATGACTTTGTATGCATCGCAGTGATTGAATTATACAGAAACGTTTTCTGACAATGCATAAGTTTACAGTTACTAACTGTAGCCCATCTGTTGGCGCACAGTTAATCAGCCCCTCTCTGCTCTATAAATAGAACCAAGGACCACCACAGGACCACTGCTGACCAGATATTATTTAAGTGGACAATTCTCAGCACTGCAGTGACCTTGTTGGTACACCTTGTAGATACTGTAGCTCTTATTATAGATCTTTTTTTCCATGTGCAATTGGTGTTAGTTATCCTTAAGCCCTACATCCATCGGTGATCAGTTTCTGACCACAGGACCGTGGATGACTGGATATTTTGGTGTTGGCCGACTATTCTCAATCCACCAGTGACAATGAGATATTTAAAATCCCAAGAAGTAGAGGGTGGCTGTAGAAAAGGGGGGCTACATTCAGTAATTACACAGCTACAAAGTGCACCTATGTAGTAGATGTAGCTGATAAAATGGCTAATAATGTAGATAAAAGATAGATGTCTCTAATAAATTCAACTAAGTGTGCTGAAGATATTTAGACAAAAAGGAGGGTAGAACACAGGGTCAGCCGTATTGCAGCACCTTTGAATCCCAACTGGACTAAGTGCTTTGCCTGAGGGCATAGCAGTGCTGGCTGGATCGGAAATATTGGCTTGAATTTATTCACCTAATGTGCTGTAATTCGAAATGTTTACCTGTTGCTGAAGAATCAAATGACCTCAGTATTATCTTCAGGTTACACAATATGCATGACAATGATTTATAATGTATTGTGCTATTCAATATCATTATTTTCTCAGGAAAACTCTGTGGGAAAACTGCCTTGATAAAAACTCATATATACTCATATGATATATATGATATGATGCCTTGATATATACTCATATGTCACTGTTGTAACAAAACCTTATCTCCAAATGTGTTTATAGGGGAAGGAAAATGACGGTATTTATGAAAAGATTTTATTCAAAATCATTATGGACCATTCATGTTGGTCCATTCATCATGAGGTTTTCAAATGGTGTCAAAAATAAAATCTAAAATTGAAAAAAAGGTTTTTCATATGACAGCAACAACATCTTAATCTTGCCATGAAGAAATGACAATCTTAAAAAGTGCCACATGTTGATGTTGTTCAACCTCATGCTTTACATGCTGCCACTTGTTAGCCAGAACGTATTTTTATCTATTTGATTTTGGGTTTCTGAAATAAATATGAATTTGAGAAAATGCCTGTATATTGCCTTGATATGTACAATAGTGCTAGAACACTATATGGAGCTGTTGCTGAACTTGGTACTGATTAGTACTTCACCTCATCTGTGTAACATAAGCATCCAAAGAGTGAGAAATTTGATTAAATTAAGGTTAATCAGCAGTCTATGGTTGATAATGAATATTTTTCACAATTATCGCAGCAATTTAAATAAGTGCTAATATTACACAAATTATCGTGTCACAAAAATATCACTGATTAATTAACTGCACATATACACACTTCAAACCACTTGCAAAGATTATAACACATTTTAAGTCTGGCAAAAAATTCTGGGTAATATGTAAATGACAGGACAAAACTCCGGCAGATGAGATCTACTCTCTGGTAGAGAGTAAAATGGACGCTGCAGTTTGGCAATATTTTGGTTTTCAACCAAATAAATGCAAATTATTACTGGACATTAACAGTGTTACACAGGATTGGGTAGTAACAAAATACATGTAATGGCGTTATGTAATCAGGATAATAAAAAAATGTAACTAGTTCTTTACAGTTACAGTAAATAAAGACAGTAATCAGGCACAGGTACATTATAAAACAGGGTGATTACCTGCAGGATTACATTCAAATCACATACACGCAAACCCGTTACCTTTTGGGTAAATTCACCACGTTTATGATAAATATGTCCCTTGAATTATGCAGATTTAAAGAGTTTTTAATTTGGGGAAGAAGAGGATGGGCGGGGGCCTCTTCTGCTAGACGTTAATGTTGTTCTTTTGGTATTGCTGGTTTAAAATTTGGACCAGCATGACAATGTGCATCATAGCATGATGTTATAAGTTCTGACATTCAAAATGCTGCCACTGTGGTAGAATGTAGGAAGACCAGAAGGCCACATTCAAGTTGTGTAGTCAAGATGATCTGTTTGCAATGGGGCAGATGATGAAGAAGACGTCTTCATGGAGAGTCCACCAATGTCACACCCATTTTATATTGTTTGAGACACGTTTTGAAGACTGTGGGAGTTGAGTGGAGGTGGAGTATTCCATTTTTAGATCTGCAGTATGGTCAGCTTGCTCATCCTTGTAAGGTTCCAGTTTTGATGACTGCATATGACAGGGGATTTGTTATATTCTCACTTGCGTACAAGCAAGCACCACTCTCGCACCTCCCGCACACTGAAGACAAATGTAGCCATTCTAAATGAAGATGAGCTCATTGTAATGTCAAATCTACACAGTTTTCCTTTTTTGCAGCCACTTTGCTGTGCAATGCTTGCCTCTTTACCTTTGCCCTGAGGCTGTAAGTAAGATTTTTGAATAAATTCAGTGGACAGATAGCTGTGGTCACAATGCAGTCTAAGATGTAAGTTCAGCTAAAGAACCTAATCTTCTCAGTTATCACATTAAAGTGCTGCCTTTTGCTTAAACATGCCTTCAATGGTGCACTTTGGCCAAACAATTGTCCCTACATTGAGGGTACTCTGAACTACCCTACTGAAAAAAGCTGGTCTACTCTGGTTTAGCTGGTCAACCCAGCATGGTCAAGCTGGTCCGTCAGCACACTGGCGTCAAAACGCAACATAGGCTGGTTTTGCTGCTGACCAGCATACCAGCACCCAAAACACATCATATGCTGGTCTATGCTAGTTTTTCTAGCAGAGTAATCAAACCCATTCTTTGTATACAAATGATTTGACTGGATAAAAAGAACCTGTTTAAACTTCACAAGAAACATGAAAATGCTTGAAATTCTGGACATTGTGCGTCCAGGAGTGGAATTACTTATGTCCTGAACAGGCAACCGAAAACCTGGACAATTCAGAGAAATCCTAGCCCTATCTACAGGGCTAACATGTAACACCAGTTAGCGTGGTATGCTAATTATTTATAGGATTTGTATGAGCAAGTCTGGACTGTTTGAGACTAAGTAGTTCTATTTGAGATTATTTAACAGCCCAATGTTTAATAACGTAATGGTTTAATGCTACTGTGTGATGATTTAGGTACATAGTCTGCATGATGCTAACTGGTATGGTAAAAGACTCCATTATGCTAGCCACATTAGCATTGTAGCTCAAGTGCAAAACTAAAGAAGCGAACCTCAGACACAAAATATGTCTTGGCAGATTGACCACATTTGAGGTAAATGTAAAACTGGGTACATTTTTACCAAAATATTTGAGTGTCATTACCATGTCTGTAAAACTATTTATGAACAGCCTTTGGAAGCAACAAAAGTGAATTCCCCTTGTGAACACAGTGTAAGGTTTAAAAAGCTGAAGCTCTATGTGATCAGTATTGGCCTCTAGCCAACACGGATCTCTCCCTTTCTCGGAAACACTGCTGGGAAAAGTCTGAGCAACTGAATTGTCTAAAGGGTAAAGTTATAATATGGCTCAGACCTTTGGTCAAAACTCAAACTGCAGTTGTTTACCTCTTTATTATGCTCCAGATTGCTGGCAATTTATTAGACCTCCTAGCATGTTCTACACCGGGGACATGCTCCATCTCAATTGAACTTAATTCAGTCAGTACAGAGATGGGCTCTGCTGCTAGGAAGAGAATTCCAAGTCCCAGTGAGTCATGCAGAACAGTAAAGTAACATACGCTCCATGCACACATTCACTTTACAAACCTTCCAGCTTTTTGCTCAGGTCCAGTTTTTCTGCCTTGACAGTTCACAGTACTGCCTGCAAGTGGTGCTGCAGTAGCGTTCAAGGCCTCTGTGGAGCTTTTCAGGATATGTTCACATCACAAGCTTTCCAGTGTTTTGCTCAGGTCTAGTCTTTCTGTCTTGACAGCTCACATTGCAGCCTGTAAGTGGGGGAAAGGAATAAAACAGCCTCTAAGGGAACCCACACAAGATAGGTTCCAGATTTTTTTAGTAAAAAATATACCAACAAATATCCTCTCCAAAGGTTTTTAGTCATTCTGTGCTTGATTTCATGCCATATACCAACATCAAACAGGCACAAGCCACAGTGCAATTTCAGTCATTTCTAAGATAGCGAGTTACCTAAATATTCAAAGAGACCAACACAATTAGTTCTGTTTAATCTGTTGTCAGCACTTTAGAGATGATAATGACACATATAAATTAATAGATGCTTTACATTTTCAACAGACAAGTTCTTAAACTATAATGGTCCCATAATCGGACACACAGATTCTTTACTGATGACAAATTATATTCCACAACTGCTCCTACAAGCCTTATATGCTCAGACCAACCACACAGTATGCCATACAGTATGTGTGGGGGGCATGGCCGAACACATCATTTACACAAGAGTCCTTGTCAACAGAAAGAGGAAATGCCTTTAAGACTATCCTTAGGTGGTTTAGGGTTAGCATGTTAAGAACACTGTTTTTTCTGTTTTAGGCAAAGTGTGGGATCCCTTTTCAACTGCTCTGCTGGTCTTTGTGTTGTATTAAGCCCTTAGAGATGAGGTCAGGTATCTCCACAGCAAGCCAAGGTCCAAGCTGAGGAAAAAGAGATAACAGGATATTTTTACAATGAAAGTTAGTGGTTCTTAACTCAAATAATCTGTAACAAATTAGAACATATTTCTTAAGTAATAAATCTCTCACATCCAGCCCGCAATAAAATAAGGATGTGCGAGTTATTAGCGGGTGGTATTTTCTAAGGACCCAGGTGTTTGTGCCGCACATGGTCTTTTTAAAACTAAAAGCTGATGATCCTGAAATAAAATCACAAAGTAGCACCTGTGTAAAAGAAAATTACCCCAGGACGATTCCTGAATAATGTGCGCAGTGTGGCAGGGCGCCTGCTGAGGCCACCGACATTGGGGAATACCACTGCCATGATGAAGTGTACCTGGTCTGCAACAGTGTTTAGGTAGGTGGCACGTGATATAAAAGTAAAAAACTATTTTGGGTGGTGGATCATCCACTCGAATTAGCGTAACACACACCAACACGGCACCACCACGTCAGTGTCACTGCAGTGCTGAGAATAATCCACCACCCAAATAATACCCGCTCTGGGGTGCTCCTGCGGGGGTCCTGACCACTGAAGAACAGGGTGAATGGGGGCTAACAAAGGGTGCAGAGAAACAAATGGACTACAGTCTGTAATTGTAGAACTACAAAGTGCTCCTACGTGGTAAATGGAGCTGATACAATGGACAACGAGTGTAGATGTAGGTTCTCAGTGATTGTATATGTGCAGTTGTGGAGATAATCAACGTTATTCGCTTCATTTATGGTCATAATGTTTTGGCTCATTAGTGTAAACAAATAACATCATGCTAATTGGTGACTACTAAAGTCTATTCGTTGTTAGCTATGTTAGCACGTTTGGTTAAACTACGCCTTAAATGCAGAGGTATTACTTACCCCTAGTGCCATAAGATGAGCCAAACCAAACTTTGGCACATTTCTGGCCCAAAGTGGTTTGAAGTGATCCGTCAAGCAGATTTTACCACCCCTTTTAAGACAAAGAAATAAAAGAGGTAAAATACTGGTCTTTTTTTTCCTTTATATGTTGAAAATTGAAAAAGAAGCCATGTCAAACCAACCTGTACATTTTCGCCGTTTTCCCATCTAGTTCAGGAATTGCCACTTCAGGTGCTGTGGCTGGATATGTGACAGGAATCTGCAATGATATGTTACAGAAGAATATTACCAAATAAGGCCTATATGAGTTATGATTTTAAAATGTTTTTTTAAATACTTACATCAAATTCAATGTCAAATTCATACTTGAGAAGCTCATGGATGTACCAGCACTTTCCAAACCACCTAAGCGTTTGGATAAAGATGATTAAGGATCAGACTACTAGCTTTAAATGGACAAGCATAAATTCTGAACAATCCATCTTAGCTTACCTCGTTCCCTCTTTGTTGGACTCTAGACGGAACCAGTCGTTGTCAGCTGCCTTATTATTCTCAACATACTGCAAAGGACAAAACATGGAGTTTCGGTTCACAGAATGACTAAATACCAAAGCTCTGAAATGAACACTTACATATACAAAAAAGACACTGCCTGGGAATGATGATGCCGATTAGGTCTTCAGACTTAATCACATTTTAGGGTTATTTACTAAGATTTGTCTATGAATAGCCAGACATTAAATGACACGTATGGGTAGCGTTAGCCACCTAGCTATCAAAAACCAACAAATTCAACTCAATTTAACGAAACAGAGTACAGTTTTTGAACGTGTCCTTACTTTGATAAGGGCCAGATATTCCTCTCGAAGCCTCTGAACCCATAGCTCTTTGTCTCTGGGTCCAGAATTGGTTTTTAATAGCGGTATTTCCGAAACTACTTTCCTTGTTGCTTCATCTGCCATGTTGCTAGCACTAGCTTGGCTACGTCACGTCACCCACTGACGTCAGAGTGCACTTTAAATCGAAGCAGTCGTGTTAAAAAGTGGGAATTTTTAAACTAGGAAAACAGAAAACGACTTTCGACGACATACTGAGATATTTTAGGATCACGGCTACCACAGAAAACTGGCAGACTTTGTTCAAGCGCATTTCTCCGGCCCAAACGGAACCATGTTCAGCGGTTGTTTCCCCACTGTACTGGCTGGATCCCAAATGGCACCCTGAGTCCTACGTAGTGCACTATGTCTTAAATAGTGTCTCATACACCCAAACAGTGAATGATACGTTTAATCAGAGCCACTTGGGATTCAGCCAATTTCGCACTGGACTTAGAGTGCACTGTTTGGGTGAAGAAGTCAAAATTTCACAGCTCGTCTAGTGCACTAAGTAGGGGTTAGGGAGCAATTTGAGATGCAGCCATTCTGTACGCTGTCCGGACGGAACAGCTGGCTGCACCGTTGCATATCACAAAGCTGTCATCTCTCAGCATCCTTTCAAAACTGATTCACTTTGCGTCAGTTGATGGGCTGATCTGGGCTTCACTGGCGTTGTAAGCGTAATAAATGCTCCCTATATTGATGTTTCAGACAGTGGTGATCCAGCTCGGGGTGATACAGAGTGAGTAATTGCATTATTCCAGTTCAGAGTGCATGAGCACCGACCTTCGAGCTATTATCAGGGAATGGTAGTGTCAGGGTTTCATGGATGTGTTGACAGTTCATACATTATAGTCCAAAGGCTCATTTTTTATTCGTAGTTATCGTTGTCATTCAGTAGTAATGTTTTCTTAAGGCCACTCCTTTAAAGTGTGCATTATGTGTGTATAGGATGGATTCAGGTGTAATGGGGGCACTTTAAAGAGTCATTCCGCCGGTTTTTCAAAAATGCTGCATAATTAAATGATTAAAACGTGAACATAGTCATTCAGAGTGGTTTGATGTGAAATGCCCTGTTTCAGAGAAAATTACAGGGTGAACAATTGTTCACAGTGGTGGTGATAGGAACCAGACATCTAAAAAGCTACCTCACAGGAAGTTATTACATGAAATGGTCATGAATACACTGAATGATGCCTGAGACATCATTTAAAGGTGCAATGTGTAAGATTGAGTGGCATCTAGTGGTTAGGCTGCAGATTGCAACCAGTTAGAAACCCTTTCCTCACTCCTTCCTTTTCAAGCGTGTAGTAGAACCTACCGTAAAGCTTTTCTGCTGTTGCCTGCCCCTATTACATTTTGCTTCTTCATGTTTTCACTTATTTGATGACGAGGATTCACCCTGCCTTGCTTTTTCTTGTGCTAAATAAGTATGATCCTCCATTTGTCTAAATTTTGTTCTCAAACTTCTCACAACTCAAAATGGTTAACCAGCACTGGCAGCAAGCACTGATTCGTCTTCTTACATCTTCCAACTGGTGCTATACTGCTACCAAAGCAGCCACATCAGTATAAAAACGTGAAAGCCGTTCTCCAGAGCCAGTATTTGGTTTATCCGTTCTGGACCACTGTAGAAACATGGCGGTGCAACATGCCGGCTTCTGTCAGTAGAGGACCCACTCCTTATGTAGAACTGAAGGGCTCATTCTAAGCTGATGAAAACACATTTCATCACGTAGTTACAGGTGATAATATACTAAAGAAAGCATTAGTCTTGCCTAAATCTTACACACTGCACCTTTAATGATAGGCCTAAAACTAATTTTTAAAACCGATTGATGGAGGAGAGATACATGCAGAGAGTCATAAGGAAAAGTAGTTCCCAAAGATAAATTGTGTTTGTAGATTTACGACTATTTTAGCATTATCAACATTGCATAGAAAGAAACTCAGAAGACACGTGTAAGGTCACTTGCTGTTTTGGAGAATAAATGTCTATATTTGTGTTGTAGACATTGTAACCACTGGTTCCTATCAACACTGTATTCACTGTAAAGAAATAAGTGTCATATCAACTCTGAATGACTGTTTACATCTCAACAATTGAATTGTGCAGAAAATTTGAGAAGTTGGTGGAGTTCCCCTTTAAGATAAGCATGCCTGTTGGCTCATGGATGCTAAGACTGACTGCTTAGGTATTTGGTATTGAAAACAGTACAATAAAGATATCCGGTCCCAGTGCTTAATGTATACAAATGAACACTATCTGATGCATGCATGTGTTACAGACTGGAATTTTTTTGCAGTTAAGTTGGCCAGATCAGGTTGGAAAAGCCCCTCTACTTTGGCTTTCTGGTTCTCATGGGCAGTGTGCTGGCCTTGTCATCTCGCCCAGGGCGTCAGAACTCCCCCTTCCCCCAGGACAGGCCCCTCTCGCGCTGGGACAAGAGGGATGGACGGCTCCCAAACCCAGGCAGTTTCGATGGCCTCCACCGTAACTGCAAAGGTGATGAAAAGAAAAAAGTTCCATGTGAAATGATCATTTTTGACTGGAGCATTATAATCTATATATTCGTATAACAGTATAAAGAAAGTCTAATTTACATCAGCTTACCCCAAATATAGTCAATCAGCCAAGACATGTTTGGAGTCTGGAGCTTGCTTGTTTGTTTTTGGAACAAAAATGTATAAATGGGTGAATTTGTGTAAATGTGATTTTTCAAACTATCACTTTTAACTATCCTCTTAATTCTTTACATTGTGTTAACCTGAATCTAAAAAGTACTTTATAGATCAACTGACCATATAATATTATTCATATCCACAAACTGTCTGTGTCTGTTTAGATGTGTTTCCACAGCAGATTGAAGGAGTAAAAATGATCGTAAACAAAACACTCAGCAGCTTTTTCAAGGTTTGGTCTTGCATTTTTCACAACTACAAACTAATTTTGATTCTCAACTTTGTATAAATATATAAATTAAAACAGTAACGTTTCCTTTTATCTCACATATGGCATTACTACTGCTATAATGCTATTAAAATGTTTTGTTGAAGGCATCATTAGAAGATGGTGAACAGAACATACAATCCTCAATTCCAAAAAAGTTGGTACAGTATGTGAAATGCAAATGAAAATAGAAAGCAGTGAATCCACTTTGACCTGTATTTAAGCAGTACAAAGACTACATACTTAATGTTTTATCTTATCGACTTCATTTGTTGGTAAAGATCTACACAGTGAACACATAAAATTGATGCCTGCAACACGTTCCAAAAAATTTAAGACTAGTAATGCTGGGAAATGTCTTAAAACATCTTAAACAGTTGATGCGCTTATGCATGGATATGAAAGGAGCATCCAGGAAATGCCCAGTCCTTCATGAGCAAGGATGGGTCGAGGCTCGCCACTTTGCCCAAAGAAATTTGTCACTGAATAATCCAACAGTTCAAGAAAAATGTTCCTCAGTGAGTGATTTCATCTGCTATGAGGAATAATATCAAGATTCTCTCTCTTATGTGCATAAAGGGCAATGCCGAAAACCACAACTGAATGCTTGCGACCCCCTCAAATCCCCTCAACCCCTCAAATGGCACTACATTAAAAACTGGCATGCTTCTGTGAAGGATATCACTTTATAGGCTCAAGAATACTTTGACAAACCATGTCAGTAGACACTTGGTCACTGAATTCACAAATGCAAGTTAATGTTAAGACTGTACTATTCACAGAGGAAGCCATATGTCAGTAGCGTCCAGAAACTCTGTCGGCTTCTCTGCTCTTGAACATATGGAAATAATGGATGTTCTCTGGGCCAAGAAAAAAGCACCGTTCAGATTGTTACCAGTGTAAAGTTCAAAAGCCAGCGTCTTTCGTAGTCTGGCGGTGTATTAATGTCTAACTCGCAAATCTGCAAAGGCATAATGACCAATCCAAAATATATACACATTTTGGAGCAACGTATGCTGCTTTTCAGGCAACATGTTTTTCAGGGACGTCCATGCTCTTTTGACAATGCCAAGTGTGTAATCAGAGAGTGTGGGTGCTAAACACTCCTGCCCACTTCCAGAACTGTCTCTCATTGAAAATGTGTGGCACATTATGAAGTGCAAAATACCACAATCAAGGCCCTGTATGGTTGCGCAGCTGAAGATTCGGCAAGAAAGGCCAAAAATTCAGATTTCAAAATGGGATCAATTGATGTCCTCAGTCCCCAAACGATTAAATGTTGTTTAAAGGAAAGGTGATGTAACGCAGTGGTAAACATGCTCCAGCCCCAGTGTTGATGGAATGTGTTGCATGTATCCAATTTGGAATGAGTGTAACAAATCACACACACATCTTCTAAGCTACTTCTCCTTCTGGGTCGCAGTGGGCTGCTGGAGCCTATCCCAGCTGTCAACGGGCAGAAAGCAGGATACACCCTGGACAGGTCGCCAGTCCATCGCAGGGCAGATAGACATACACATTCACTCACACTCGGGGGCAATTTAGCATGTCCAATTGGTCTGACTGCATGTCTTTGGAAACTCATGCGGACACAGGAAGAACATGCAAACTCCACACAGAAAGGACCCTGGTCACCCGGCCGGGGAATCAAACCCTGCTGTGCGGCGACAGCACTACCCACCGCACCACCGTGCCGCCCATGTAACAAATCAAACAAAAAATTAAACTAAACAAAACAAAAAAACAAAATTCATGATGTAATTGTCAAATATTGGGTTTTCTACTGTTTTCAACTAAAATAAGTTCAAACAGAATTTACTATAAATGGTATTTCACTGCTTTCTGTTTATTGTAATTTCACCTACTGCCCCAACTTTCTTAGAATCTAACAGTTCAAATGATCTCAAATTTACTATACATTTTTGGCATCAAAGCTTTTGTAAGCCTTTATGGTGTCCATTTATGTTGTCATGTGTTGTCTTTTTTTCATATAGGTCAGCCATACGTTTCACCTCAGTGCTGTTGCACCATCAAATTACCGCTTCCACGTTGAGTACCTGCAGTCAGACACTGACAGTAAAGAAACAGTGAGTCTCTTTCTTTATTGCCCTCTTCTTCATTGCTTAAAGGAACAGTTATGCACAAAAAAAAACAAATTCACACAATTTTCACCTTACCAGCAATGTAGTTGAGGACAGCCTGGACATGTTTGGTGTCTGAAGTTTGCTTCTTTAGTTGAGCACTAGAGCTACGAGGCTAACGTAGCTAACAGGTAATGTAGCTAGGAGCTTATACCATGACAATTATAAATGGACAGGCAAAAATCCAGGCTTAAAGAAAAAACAGTATGCAATCTTAAGCAAAAGTTTGAGCACCCCTGCTTAAATGACATGTTTGTGTCATTATGGCATTTTGCTGCATATTTTAATGCATATTTCATCTCTCTCTCTCTCTCTCTCTCTCTCTCTCTCTCTCTCTCTCTCTCTCTTCTCTCTCTCTCTCTCTCTCTTTCTCTCTCTCTCTCTCTCTCTGGCTATATATATATATGTATAAAAACATCATAAAATGACATGCAAATTAGTTGTTTTATTTATATATATGTGGGCTTCCATTACTTTTTAGCTACTTAGTCTTCCGTGCAAAACTAAAGAAGCAAAGTTCAGATACCAGACATGTCTTAGCTGACTGGCTACATTTGGGGCAAGGGGGGTATTATGTAAATTAGATTTCTCACATCACAATAAATGCCATCTCTCACAGAGCTCACCTATGCTCATTGGGGAAATGGACTCTTCTGGCAGCCTGAACGCGCACTCTCTGTTCCACCTGAGTGAGAGAATAAGAGCCAAAGCAGTATTTCAGGTTAGTGCCTTTGAAACGTATGTAATCTGTTTTAGGGCAAATGTAATTAAATCCTGCAGTTACTGTTGCTAGTGTCTGCACATTCTTTTCCAGACTCAGCAGTCCCAGTTTGTCACGTGGCAGTTTGAGACGGAGTACAGGGGCAGTGACTTTACAGCAGCTGTCACTATGGCCAACCCCGACATTCTTAGAGAATCAGGTAAGACTCAAGTTACTCTCCAGTCCATCATTGAAAGAGTTCAAACCATGAAAAAAAAACAACCTTTTTTCCCTTTGCTCTTTGTGTTAAAGAGTTTGTGTGGGTGCCAGCAACAGCAGTTCATTTTATATGACTGTTTTCTAACTCCTCTGTCATTGTGCCTTTACATCTGATGTATGTAAATGAGCTCAGGCTGAAAAAAAAAGCAGGTCAGGCTGAAACACTTACAACTTCAGTGTGAATGTAAATGCACCTCATAAAACCGATTAATTCAAAATAGGCTGTCTGTGCAACTTGGTTTCCACACATGGACTGTGTGGACTGTGAGTGAACAGCACATTTTGAAACTTTAAAAATGTTTACATTCAATAATCAAAACTTTTTATGTGAAAAAGTTGTTTTTCCATAATATAAACTGGATTATACCATGTTCAATTTTGAAGTAACTAGTAAACAATTAAAATGTACCGTATATTTCCTGGTTCATATATGAAACTGAAGCTGCAAAAACGGCCTATTTTGAATTTATCATGGTTGTGACGTCAGAAAGGTAAGTGTATCATTGCAGCCCTACAAAAGGATCCATCCTTTCGAAAGGAGCGGCTGAAGTTTATTTTTCCAACGTACTTGAGGATTTCAGCCAAATAGTTTGTTCCGTATATTTCATCCTGGCTGCTTTTTGAAAAAGCAAATCAGAAGAGATCTCATTTACATATGTCAGTCTTAAAGGCACAGTAACAAAAACAGCCTGTTTAATTATAAGTGATAAAGAGAGGTTGTAAAACTATCAAAAAATAATCATGTGGTAGATAAAACCACATACAAGTGCACTTTAGGGACAAAAATATAGATGATTTCTTACTTTGAACTAAGTTTTGGGGAATTTAGCCATATTTCCTTAGGCGCTCTATTGCTTGGCAAAATAAATCAGCAGTAAATTCGTGCTCAAATGACTATGATAAGGAAGTGAATGATGTTTTCAGTCAAACTGTACCTGTGATTGTAGACAAAAAGTTGTTCAAGTAAGCTCTTAACACAATAGTAGCTGACAACCTAGTTTGTCAGGGGAGTGCTTTTGTTATTCTCGTCAACACTGACGCCAAGAAACACTGACATTCAGTCTGTATAGATTTTTCAGATTTTTCAGTGGCTGACCCCACATTCCACTCTGATTTGATTGATGGTTTGTTTTTACCTTTTTGGCTGAGAGTTTTACACTCTGTGCTGTTCAGAAACAAGCTTTTGCCATCTAATCTGGAAAATCAGGGTTAGGGTTAAGTGAATTTTCCTGCAGTTGTGATTAAAGATCTCTTTCTGATTGTTTTAATAGGGATCTTCCACAGTAAATCACCTGAGGCCTGGCAGGACACGTCATGGATTTACATTGAAAAAATTAAAAATGTATTAATTCAGTAAAAATCAATTAGTTTTTTAAATTATGAATTTTGAAAGTTTGTCCCAGCAGGTTCAAAATTGTACTGTAAAATGAACATTAAATAGCTGACTTTAAACAAAATATTATTGAAATATTATTATTATTATATATTATTATATATTATTATAAGTGTTTGTACCAATTTAATGGTTCAGCTCAGTTCAGTCACTCTGTAAGCAGTTCTGCTTAATAATTAAGATGCTTTGAGACATGAAAGAACCCGATAAATTATAATAATTCTTATTGTCATCTGGGTTGTTCTCTGAAATATGAATACGCCCTTGTTTCTTGTGGGACAGTTATCATGGTGGCGCACTTCCTCCAGAGTGTCTCTCCACAGCTGGTTCTTGGGGGGGAGTTGGTGTACCACCGAGGACGAGCTGAAGAAGGTGGTATCCTCACCCTAGCTGGCCAGTACTCAGGTAAGGGAGCAGATCAAACTGTATGCAAGCTGTATTTTAACATCTTATCTTTATTTGTATAGATAAATTGTCAAAATGTAAACAAAGTCATTCAAAGTGGTTTAAAGTAAAATGCTTCATTCTAGAAAAACTTACAGATATAAAATTCTTCACTGATAGAAACCAGAAGTCTGAAGACTTTAATGCCTGTAAAGCTTCTTCACTGGAAGTTATTACAGTCATATGCAGAAGTTTGTACACCCCTGGTAAAATGACGTTTTCCAACTTTTTGCAACTCGCTGCCCACACAAAAGACCACAAAAGCTTCCACAGCCCACAGGATTAACCGAACAGATACATTTTCTGACTCACTTAACGAGATAGCTGTTCTTGTTTGGCAGCTACCCGGAGCTGGATGACAGGCTGAAGAGAAAAAAGCTGCAAACAAGCTCAATTCGACAGGTTTAGATACATTTTCACTATTTTTAGTCTCTAGGTTTTGGTGTAAACTGTTGGCTTTGCTGAAAAAAACTGAATAGATCAGCATCCATTCCATGCTGGTCCAGCAGGGAAGTTTTAAAGCTTCATTTGAAAAAGCCTCTGAGTATACAGCACACAGAGGTAGTCACTCATTCTCAGTTCTCACACACGTGAAGCCCAGTGAATGCTACTCACTGCTGTGTTCTCTTTGATTTTCTTAGTCTCAGATGCAGTGGCCCCTACACTTGTAGAGCGTGTCCAGGACTGTTCATTTTGAGTTCCATACGATTGAAAAGTGAAATGTTTTAAGTTAAGTTACCCTTAATTAATCCCACAGCAGGGAAATTTCACATCTGCATTTAACCCATCCGTGCAGTGAAACACCACATACACACTAGGGGCAGCGAGCACACTTGCCTGAAGCAGTGGGCAGCCCTATCCACAGCACCCAGGGAGCAGTTGTGGGTTAGGTGTCTTGCTTAAGGGCACTTCGGTCACATACTGTTGGCTTGTCTGGGGATCAAACCGGCGACCTTCTGGTCACAAGGCTGGTTCCCTAATCTCCAGCCCATGACTGCCCCAAAGTAGCAAAAATTTTGCCAGAACAGTCAATAAGCTACATATAAATGACATTTTTGCAAATAATCAACAATATTTGTTATATTTAAAATTATATTTAAATGTCTATATTGTATTTTTTTTTTTGCATTAACAAAAAGAAAACAATTTTTTTTTTTGCATTAAAGTGAACTGCTCTAAGAGAGCCTACATTTCATGTATGATTACTGTTTATTTGTTAAATTTTGTATGTTGGGGAAAAAAAACTAAATGTGGACTGTGCAAAAGCTCTGGCACATTTTATATATTTTTTCAGATATGATATGACTCAACAATAATAACAGTAATTATCATGAAAACTCAAAAATTGTGTACTAACATTTGCAGAAAAATGCCATATTTACATTTGTTCTCCTTAGAGAATGTGTTGACTTATTTTCATTTAGAAAATCAACAAAGCATGTAACAGATCTATTGTCTGGTGGCTGAGACATTGTTTCACAATAGTTTTGAGACAAGCTTTTGGCCTTAAGATAGATTTTCTAAAACACATTAATGAAGGAGAGGTTTATGCAGGTAAATGCTTTGCAAGGCAAAATAGTACAAAAAGAAAATGCTTTTTTTTCCAGATTTACAACCATTTTATTAGCAGCACTACATATAAAAACTCAGAAGACACATGGCCGCTGGTCATTTTGGGTTGTAAATAAAATGCCTACTTTGCGACCCCTGGTTCCTATCGCTGCTACTGTAAAGAAATTAGAGTCAACAAATGTCTTCATAATACACCATTTTGTATCAAAATACTCTGAATTAATCTATTTACATTTCAACAACTGAATTATTCTAAAACTTTGTAAAAGTGGTGGAATTCCCCTTTAATATACCCCTTCAGGTGGTTATAGGTGTGGTTCCCAGCCCTGGCCCTGGATTACTCCCTTTCCTGCATTATTTCTTGTTTGCCCTTCTTCCAGCACAACTGATCTAGCTAAGCAGTTTATGACCTTCATGATTTGAAATGGGTGTGTCGCAGCAGGAAAACTTAAAGTGGGTACTCCAGGACCAGGGCTGGAAACCAGTTCACTAAGAGATCTCTTCTTGTTTTATTCCAGGGCCCAACTGGGTGGCCACAGTAAATGCAGGTAAAGGAGGTGCCCATGCAAGCTATTATCATAGAGCCAACAAGCAGGTATGGAAATGTCTGACTGTTTTTATGGCTGTGAATTGTATAGTATATAAAACTGTACCTGTATAGGGTAGTACTGTTATAGTCGTCCAAATTATTCCTCCCAGATCCAGGTCGGAGTGGAGTTTGAGGCCAGCACCAGAACCCAGGAGACCACATTCTCCTTCGGTTACCAAATGGAATTACCTGAAGCCAATATGATCTTCAGAGGTAAGAGTCTCCGGCATCTTAATGAACAGAACTTGAACTGACAGATCTACGCTCCACCTGAGATGAATTTTGTTGTACCTAATGTTTCAAGATTGGACAAGCTTTACAGAACACTGCCAAAAATGGCAAAAATCCCATTCAGCCTAATGAAAAACTGTAACTGTATTTTTTGTCAAAAAAACTACAGTTCTATTCAATTCATAATTGAAACTACTATGTAACGGCTGGAGGGTTTCCTTGATTTAGGTACTTGGTAATGGTTTGAGGTAGGGGCGGGCGAGATAGCAAAAATATTGTATCATGATACTTCAAGTCATTTTCACAGTACACGATATACATTACCATGTTTAGTTTTTCAAAATTCGTTAGTAAGTTGGAACAGACAAAATAGAACCTGTAGTGCCACTTATAAAAACTGCTATAATAAAAATAATAATAAACCTACAACTATAGTGATTTTTATTAAAAGTTTTGCAAACTGCAATGTTAAATTCAAATAAGCAGGCCTAATTATGCTCACTGGTTTAGTAAGTACTGATGATATCTATGATATGCTCAGAAAAGCATATTGTGACATAATTTTATCACAGTAATGGTAAATGATAAACAATAAAATATATTGTCACATTGCCCACCCTTAGTTTGAGGATATCCTTATATCTCAACAAAACAATGATAAGCCACACAAAGGTCTCTAAAGAGTTTATAGAGTCAGGGTGAAACAATCACCATTATTTTGAATGGTTACATATACAATCCTAATTGTGTGTTTATTAGTTTTAATTTTAATTTCTCACTAGGTTTGAATGGGATTTTTGCCAGTTTCCTGTAAAGCATGTCCAAACATGCAACATGAGCTTAGATAGAGTGCATTTAGAACTCATTTATGTGTGACGTATTGCTCTCAGGTATGTTGGACAGCCGGTGCATCATTGGAGGCGTTCTTGAAAAGCGCCTCTGTCCGCTTCCTGCTACCTTAATCATGGGCGCCTTCGTCAACCATCGAGGAGACAAGCTGCAGGTGGGCCTGGGGGTGAACGTGGGCTAAATAACAGCATCTGACCACGTGGACGCTCCTGTGCTGTGTCAGAACGTTCCTCCAGAAACCCCCTCTCAGGTCTGTCCAGAGACATGGGCGCATCACAGATTATTGCTAAATCTAAGCCCTATTGGCCCTTCTGGACTTCTATATCTTTTCTTGGCATGCGGGAACAGAAGGAACGTTTCCATTCCCAGTGGAGAAACAGCAGCAATCCAAACACTTCCATGTTGGTGCTGACCTTGATTATGATTGACAGTTTTGTCACTCACACCTTGAAGACTTCTTGAGTTCAGTGACCCTGAAACACACTGAACAGTGACTTTCTGAAACACACTAAGAGAATATTTATGGACCTTTTGGGGGAACAAGAAGAACCACATAATACATGCATATTTTTCCCATGTAGCTTTGGTAGTTTTGAACTAGATCTGGACCAAAAGAAGAAGGTTCCACATTTGGTCTTGGACTAAATATAGAAATAAGAAATAAGAAATAAGCTTGATCCAAACACATTCTGTTAAGTCTTTATGTTTATCTATGCTATGCTATGAAGGAATATTTACACGCAAATAACCTGTTTATGTTCTGGAATCAATATTATAGGATCTTATGGTCCTTTGACTTGCGATTATTCTGCACTGTACATTTAAAATGTACAAAGAACTAAGAGGGTCAGTGTATGTAATTAATGAAAACTCAGCAATGACAACTAAGATGAATAGTAGCATTTAGACGATTATAGTATATGGTAAAGTTAACAAGTCATAAATCAGGCTTCAGGCAACAAAAGTGATAAAGAAGTTAAAGTTGAAGTTGAGAGATGGCAGCTTTCCACTCTTCTCTGGTGAATCATGAATAACTTGATTATTTTTTCGTTCATGTCTTTCTCTGTTGGGTTTTATGGCCAATCGTGCCAGTTTATTCTGAAGAACATGGTGTACAACTGGCTTTATATTAAGACAGTCTTGAAGGTCACTTCTTAGTTTTAGAAAGGAATATTGATTCAGTCAGCTCGCTGCAATTCCTCGAACAATAAGAATTATGAGAAATGAGGAGGTACAGGTTGGTTCTGAGGCAGAATATTGAAAAATCAGGAAATCTTCATATCAAAGAAATCCGGATAGCCATATGAATGAAATGTAACATGCACTGATCTATTTATTTATTTATTTATTTATTTATTAATTTATTTATTTATGCTGTATATTTTAACCAGCACTTTTTGAAGTGCTGCTGTTGGCTAACGTTTGCATCACTTGACCATTTCACCATAACCAGCCTGTCCCAAAGTGTGGCGCTACTTTGTGATGTGCTTGTTCAACTGAAATTTTATTTTAAATGAATAAACTTAAAATATTTATTTCTATCCTGAGATTCAATCCTGCTTGAAGTGCTTCTGATGGTTCTTACGATTCCTATAAAACTTTATTCATATATAAACTTTTTAAATGCAAGACCCCCATAAACCAGGCTTGTAACTCACTCACTCACTCATGTTTAGCAGGATAAAGACTCTCCATAATGGGGTGCCATTAGCACTGTTGGTGCTTCATGGTAATGGTGCTTTACATCGGTGCCACTGCGTCCTTGTTAACACACATTCACAAAGTGCTGTACAGGGAGACAAACAGGCAGGGGTCTCAAACTTCCAGCTCACAGCTGGTAAAAGTGAAAAGAAGAACCATTCCAACAGAACCCTGACGCAGCATGGACCCTGCACACTGAGCGGGCATCGCTTAGTTATAACTACTCTCATCTATTACTCTAATTTAGATCAATAGTTAGTTAAATCTGCCTTTGTGGATTCATTCATGACACAACACTAGATACAGTGTGTCAGATTTGAGAAATGAATGGAATTATCAAACAAATACACTGAATTGCAAGGTTGTCACATCTGTGCTAATAGCAAGCTAACACTCCTTTACACTGAAATGATGTAAAAGTAAGTCTACTAATCAACTTTGCTTGCTTGTTTATTATGGGTTTTTTGGTGTACTTGCATGTCTTATGAGGTCATTTCCTGTCCAACAGTGTTAGCTCACATGTACACTCTCAAAAAGATGTTTTTTCAAGGGCTTTACTAAAGAAAATGGTTCTACACAGAACCATGAACACTCAAAGAACCCTTTGCATAATTAAAAGGTTCTTTAAAGGTTTCTTCAGATTGATGGAGAATTTGCTGTAGATTTTCTGTACCTTTTTGAAAAGGGTTCTATATAGCCTGAAAGAGGTATTTTTACTGTATGAACTTGTAACAATAGCAGAACCCTTTTTGCTGTTATATAGAACCCTTTTCAAAACAGAACCATCTACAGCACATTGTCCATCAATCTGAGCAACGCTTTCAAGATGCAACAAACACTTTAATCCTGCAAAGGGTTCTTTGAGTGTTCAACCATTTTCTTTAGTAAAAACCCCTTGAAGAACCATCTTTTTTGAGTATGTAGCAAAATTCTTCTTTAGACTCTTTGACTATCTTGTAGTTCAGAGGATCCAGTAGAATTCAGAGGAAAAATCTATGCAGGAAAAAATATAGAACTACTTTGTCAACCGCGTACCGTGATGGCGGCAATTTTCCAAAAATCCTATTAAGTTTTTATCATAGAGAAATCCAGCTTAGACTCTAAGTTTCTAATATGGGAAAGGCGACAACTACAGAATGACAATGTGACTTCAGTGGTCTGCACGCTTAAAAAGATGGTTCTTTAGGTGTTCTTTCGTAAAAACAATAGCTCTGTTTAGAACCTTGAGTTTCACATAGAACCATTTCATGCTTGAATGGTTCTTTGCATGGTGAAATGGTTCTTCAGACTGATGGAGAATGTGCTGTATATGGTTCTATATAGAAACTTTTTAAAAAAGGTTTCATATGGCACCAAAAAGGGTTCTGCTACTGTTATGATGTCAAGCTTGTAAGAATAGAAGAACCCTTCTCGGTGCTATAAAGAACCATTTCCAAAAATGTTCTTTATAGAACCACATACAGCACATTCACCATCAATCTGAAGAACTATTTCACCATGCAGTGAAAATTTTAAGCATGAAGTGGTTCTATATGGAACTCATGGTCCAAAATACAGTCATTGCCTTCACCAAGAAACCCTTGAAGAACCAGCTTTTTCAAAAAGGAAAAACCTTTAACTGATATAGAACCTTTATATTAAGTTGATGGTCTTTAAACTTAAAAAAGGTTACTCACACTCACATATCTCATTTATTGAAATGGTTCTTTATGAACCATACTCTGAAAGGCTCCAGAGAACTGGCGAAAAAGGGAAGGGTTTTGGTCCAAAATGTTTTATAGACCACTTTTTTTTCTTGATATACATAGTTGGGAGTCGGCTTTACCCATACACCAAATCTCAATGCTATATTATGATTAATGCCACCTTTATTAGACAAATAAAAATGTGTTTTCCTTTATACGTCAACTAATATGTTCGAAATTGTTACCAAAGGACATACAGCATTTTGGAATGAAACTCTTCAGTCCTGCTCTCTTTGACGCTAACGATTGCAGTGGTAAAAACAAAGAACATTTCTAAACTTAGAATTCAGGATTCAGTCATGTGGGTGACGATGAAAGCAAACCACTATGCATATGTGTAGGTGCGTGACAATGCGACCAGGTGAGCTCGCACCCAAACTGACAGGAAGTTCCTGTTTCCCTGTTGTGTTTTCAGGAGATGTGCCAAGGCTGAAGAGAACACGCAGGTAGGTCTTTTGTTTGTGTGACCTGACTGACTCACAGAGATCCCCGGTGCCCCTACTGTTGACATCTTCGTTAAAGGCGAATAAAGATTTTAATTACAGCTTATAATTGTTTTTTTTTTTTTTACATGTATTGCAGATTGGTGCGCAGGTTTGCTGACCAAAGGATAAATGAGGGAGGAATGTTGCCACACTTCCCCCTTCCAAATAAGTCCGTATTCAATCTGTCACGCCTCCTCCGGGTAGGCTTTCAGGCAAATTTGACAGGCTGCTCACTTCAGTGTCATTCGCGCTTGCTCCTTTCTGGGGTGCTATTCTTTCTGAGGCTTCATTGAGAAGAAGGCTGGGGACAGACTGGTGAGTGCAAACTCAGTTACTCCAATTCAGACGCTGGAAACGTCACTCTTGTCTAAGATAATATTTGAAATCATTGCATGTTTTAAGAGCATGCCTCGTCCTTTGAGGTGTGTAATAAAATCCTCAACGCCAGGCTTCTGTTTTCACCCTTGAAGCTACCTGCCTGGGCGTGCTACTCAAATATGTGAAAATATGTGATGAGGTTTTATGTTGATCGTATGCTTTTATCCTGTTATACTCCTTTATTGCTTTTATGCTTTTTTGGGCACCAGTTATTTCACTGTATTGTAACAGAGATCTTGCACACAGGAGGAGCTTATACTGACAGCCATGAAGGCAAACAAGAAGAGTGATCTTTTTTGTGCCTATCAAATCATTTCAAAACTGTGCCAAAACTGGCTCGCCAGTACAGCCTTCATCTTTCGTGGAAATCTGTGATACTATCAAAACTACGCATTTGAGCACATAACATCTACGTTCATACTGCATTTTTATTTTACGTCTTTTGCAGAAGCTACTTTGCTTTTTATAAATAAAAGTTGTATTTTTTGAGCCAAACCTGTCTGTGTATATAGGTATAGTTCTGTGGAATCAAGAGATTTTTAACACAAAAAATATCAAATACCAAATCTTAAATCTTTAATCCTGAAAAAATTGTTACACCCCTAATCAAGTGTTAATAATATTAGCATTAGTCATTCTCTCCAGGCCTAATTGGTGCGTCTGAGAACCACGATCAGAATTCAGTAATTGATTACAGTAAATAAGTGTTAAATAAATGGACAAACAAAAAAACCGTACATCCAAGAACCATTTCAGAATCTTTATTACTAAAATGACAGAAACTTCTGAAGACTATTTGGAGGTTCTTTAACCTTTAAAATGGTTGTTCACGCTCATATGTATCATTTACAAAAATGGTTCTATCCATCGAAAGCTTCTAAGGAACCCAATGGCATGGCTTGAAGAACCATGCGGGCACATTTGTTTCCGAGAATGCATTTATACAAAGAATGTATGAAGAATGCACAAGCGTCTCATTCACGCACTGACTGTTGCCTATACGAGCATATCAGTGTAGTGCATAGAGCTGTATTAGAGTGTGTCAGAGCAGTGTTTCTCAACCCCGGAGGCCCATTGCCTGCTCACTTTAGTGCTTATCCTGCTTTAAAACACCCGTTTTAACTCAATAATGGGCTGTTAATGAGTTGATTAGTTAGATCAGGTGTGTTGGGGGCAGGGAAAACACTAAAAATTGCAGAACTTTGGCCCCCCAGGACCAGGACTGAGAAACACTGTATTAGAGTGTATTAGAGTGCTATAGACTGAAGACATTTTAGACAGAAAAATTTTAAAAACGAAATCCAATCTTGATCACAGTATCACAAAATCGAATATCGAA